ATCATCAACCGCCCCCTCTCTACTCTCCCCCCATAATCTCATCCAGTCCTTTATCTCCCCCCACCCTTCTCCCTCCCCCCACCTCTATTCCTCTCTGCCCAAATATCTCTCCCCCCCTCCTTCTCTCTCCCCCCCTCACTCTCACCCCTACATCCCTCACTCCCCCCCCTCCTCTCCCCCCCCCTCTGACCTCTATCTCCCCAGAACTCTCTCAATAATTTAAATCCTGATTAGTCTCTCTAAAAATTACCCCTCTCTCTCTCCCCCCCCTCTCTCTCCCCCCACTCTCTTGAAAAACCTCCCCTCAATCTCCCCTCTCCCCCCTACGTATATTACCCCCCTCTCCCCACTTTCCTCTCTAACCATAAAACCTCTCCCCCCCTCTCTCCCCCCTCTCTCCCCCCCTTTCTCCCCCCCTCGCTCTCCCCCCCCCTCTCTCCCCTCCCTAACTCCTTAACCCCCCTTCCTCTTCCCTGGACCCTCTCTATTCTCTACAACTCCTTCTCTCCGCCAGATCCTCCCTTACCCCCCTCACTCCCCTCGTCATAGAACCCCCCTTCACCCCTCCCTCCCTCTCTCTCAATACCCCCTCCTCCCCCCTCCCTCTCCCTCCCTCACCCTCGCCCCCCTCCCCCTCCAAGTAAACTCTCTCCCTCCCCTCTCACCCTCCCGACCCTGTACTCAATTCCTCCCCCTCCCTCCCCTCTCTTCCCCCTATATCCCCCTAGAACACTTCCCCTCCCTCTCTCCCCCCCTATCCCCCTCCCCTTCCCTTCCTCTCCCCCTCCCCTCCCACTCTTCCCCCAACCCCTCCCTCCCTCGCTCATCTTCCTCTCCCCCTCCACCCTCTCTCATCCCCTCCATTTCACCTCCCAAAACCCCTCTCTCAACCCTCACCCTCCCTTTTCCTCTCTCACATTAACCGCTCCCCCTCCCTCCCTCTTCTTTCCCTCTCCCCCTCCCCATCCCTCTAGCTCACTCCGCCTCTCCCCCTCCCTCCCCTCTCTATCCCCTCCCCCCCTCCCTTCGCCTCTCTCCCTCTCCCCCTCCCTCACCGCTCTCTCTCCCCTCTTCTCCCTTTCCCTCTTCTCTCTCCCTCTCCCCCTCCCTCTCCCCCTCCCTCTCCCCCTCCCTCTCCCAAACCCTCTCCCCCTCCCTCTCCCCCTCCCTCCCCCACTCCCTCTTCCCTACCTCCATCTTCTCCCATACTCCCCTCTTCCCCCGCCTCCCTCTCCCCCCCATCCCTCTCCCACCCCCCCCTCTCGCAGAGCCCATATTCTCCGACTCTCCCGCCCCTCTCTCCCCCGAATTAGGAAAGGGGGAAAGAAAGGAAGTGACCCCCCCCCCTCTCTCCCCCCCCCTCTCTCCCACCCCTCTCTCTCCCCCAAGGGAACCACCTCTCTCTCCCCCCCTCTCTTACCTCCCCTGGCTCTCTCTCTTCACCCCCCCCCTCTCTCTCCCCCTCTCTCTCTCAGCTCCTCCTCCCTTCTCTCTCTCTCTATTCCCCCCTGCTCGCTCTCCTCTCCCCCCTCTCCCTTTCTCTCTCTCCCCCTTAATTACCTTCTCTCTCTCCCCCCTCTAGCTCTCTCTACCCCCCTCCCTCCCTCTCCTCTCCCCACCCACACAACTCTGCTCAACCCCTAAGCCTCCCGTCGCTCTTCCCACCTCTTCCCCCCTCCCTCCCCTCTCCCGACACCCCAGGTGCCCTCTCCTAAGGGGGAAATGGCCCTCCCTCAAAATTCTCTCTCCAAATCCCCTATTCTCTCCCTCTCTCCCCATCCCTCCCTACCCCCACTCCCCCCCCTGAACCCTCCCTCTCTAGGGACCCAGATCCCCTCCCTAGAGAGGAACATAAACCTCCCTCTCTCTCTCCCTCCCTCTCCCCCCTCCCCCCTCTAATAAACATCCTCCCTCTCTCTCTCCCCTCCCTCCTCTCCCCCCTCTCTCACACTCCTCTCTCTCAGCCCCCCCCTCTCTCTATCTCCTCTAATATCTCTCGCCCCCTCGCTCTCACCTCCCCCCCCTCAAAAATCCCCCCCCCTCGTCATCCCCCCCAAAATCTCTCTCCCCCCCTCCTCTCTCCCCCCCGCTCTCTCTCCCCCACCTCTCTCTCGCCCACCCTCTCTCTCTCTCCCCTCCTCTCTTCCCCCTCCCAAGCTCTCTCCCCACTATGGCCTCTCTCCCCCCCTCTCCCCCCCATCCCTCTCTCCCCCCCGCTCCCCCTCCCTCCCTCTATCATCCCCCCTCCTCCCCCTCCTGTCCCTCTCAGCTCCCCTCTCCTCCCCCGTCCCTCCCCCTCTCGCTCCCCCCACCCCCTCCTCTCTCTCCCCCTCCCTACCCCTCTCTCTCCACCCTCCCTCACCTCCCTCCCTCTCTCTCCCCCATCCATCCTATCCTCCCTCTCTCTCTCCCTCTCCCCCCTAACCCTGGATTCTCTCTCTCCGCTCTATTCCCTCCCTTAAGATCAGAGATAATAAGATACTGCCTCTTCCCCCATACCTCTATGCCACTCCCCCTCCCTCTCCCCAACTGGTCTCCCCTAATTTTCTCCCCCGAGGTCGGGCGTTCTCAAACCCCGCCCTCTCCCCCGCCCTCTCCCCCTTCTCTCCCGCCTCCCCCTCTGCCTCCTCTCTAAATAAAATCCCCTATGGCTCTTCCGGTGGCCTCCCTCCCTCTCCCCCATCTCCCTCCCGCCCCCTTTCCCTCCCCCTCCCCCCTCCCCCCCATCCCTCACCCCCCTCCCCCTTCCCCCCCCTCCCCTCCCCCCCTCCCTTCCCCCCCCCCCACCCTCCCCCCCTCACCTCTCCCCCCCTCCCTCTACCCCCCCTCCCCTTACCCCCCCCCCTCCCTCTCCCTCTAACCCTTTTTTTTGCTTTTTTATTTATACTCAATATTCTCACTTAGCGCGCCATTTGTCTTATTTTGTATGTTTGTGAGGTTTTAAGGTTTCCCCATGTGTATCAGCTGCTTAACAATATTTTCATCCGTTTTACTGTCCACCCGTCCCTCCTGTCACCCTCCCTTATTCTATCTATCGACCACCCATATATATATATATACTACACTGGTATAAACACTCCTCCCTATATGGGTGGGTGTTATAAGGCCCCCACAACAAACCCCCCTTGTCCTATCATGGAATGGCGTTTGAAGACTCCATAAAGGTGCATACTCCCACACTATAGGGGGTGCTCGGAATGGGCAAAGCAAATCTCAAACAAGATCTCTAGGGGAATTCTGGTGTGGGGAGGGAGATAAGACACCCATAGGGTTTGTTGATCATGATGAGAGGCGCAAAACCAAAGTCTATAGGGAACCCCTGGTATGGGACCCCAAAGATCTAACACACCCCCTCCCATAAGATCATATAAAGGCCCCCCCTACCAAGTCTCAAAGTAACAGGAGATCCCTAGTGGAAACCCAATTATGGGGAGGGTACAACCCGAATCACTAGGGGGATTGCCTTGAATATCCTTGGTATTGAGATCTATGGGGACAACATAGATCTGGTAATACTGAGTATAGGGGGTATAGGGGTACTCAAGAAAGATATAGTCCCAATGCAGGTATGGGGAGGGTTTATATAAAACTATAGTATGTTGCCCATAAGGGTACCCCCATCATTAATACCCTCACCTCCATGAATCCCCTCTAGACCCTCACAAGCCCCCTACGATCTCATCAAACCAAACCCCTACACCTCAAACGCGCACCGCATATCCCCCTTAAATCTCCCCCACCCCTCGCAACCCCCAGCCCCTTCTAGAATATTAGAAAACCCTGTCCTGCTCCCCCCAACAGTAACAATATTTCCATTCAAATATTTAGATCTTACCAAGTAAGTATCCTGTCTAAACCCCCAACACCCCCCACAACATACACCCCATACCCACCACCACACACACCCCCCCCGCTAATACCCCCAATCGGAAACCACAACCCAACACCCCCTAATTACCCACTAAACAAATACACCAACTAAAACAAAAACACCACCACAAAATACCCCAAACACCAATAACCCTAACCCACAAACACCCCATAAAAATACCCCAACAAACCCAAACCCCAACACCCACCTAACCCCACCAAACAACACCAACACTACACTCCCCCCAACCTACTCTACCCCCGTAACCATCTACCCGACCAACTAGAACAACACAACAACCTTAGACCACCAACCAACTCTTTACTACAAAAAAATTGCAACACCTTAACTAGCCACAAAATAACCCCTACACTACCTAAAAAACCCCAACCTAACACAAAACCACAAGCTCCAACCAAACAAAACAACATAAAAACAACAAACACAAAAAAAAAAAAAAAAAGAATAAATAAACAAAAAACAAAACCCCCCAACAAAACCCCAAGAAATATCCCCTTAAAAAAACCCTACCCCTCATAAAATACCTTTGTGTACTATTAAATGGAAACTCCAAGCCTGGTAATACTGGTATGGGGGGTATAGGGGTACTGATATGAAAGATATAGGGGATGCTGGTATGGGGAGGGGTTTATATAAATCTATAGGATGTTGCTGGTATAAGGGGTATATGAGATTTTATACCCCTCACACATGAATCCCCTATAGATCTCAAAGCCCCCTACAGATCTCTATACCCCTCACAACCGCATCCCCTTATAGATCTCTATACCCCTCGCACCCGCATGCCCCTTCTAGAATATTAGAAAACCCTGTCTGCTCTCTTTAAAGTAGACAAGATTTATTTCCATTCTTTAGATCTACCAGAGTAGTATCTGTCTAATTGGATACAAATGGAATGATTGTTTTACTTGGACCCTCACAATACATATCTGGTAAATCTAAAGAGACAGTATAGTGAATGCCTTTATTTTCAATGACTTTAGAAGTGACTTATGTTTACAAGTTTCCCCCTCCATATTTGTGTTCTATTAAAGTGGAACTCCAGCCTTATCTATTTTTGTTCTGCTCCTACTTTCGACTCTCTTCTTACTTTTTTTTTAACCATTACAGTCACAGAACATTACCATGGCAGAAGGACTGCCCAGTGATGCGAAGGGGGCTGTACTGATGCCCAGCGACTCCCTACCCGAAGGCACGCCCCAGGTCAGAGGTTATGACTTCAATCGCGGGGTCAACTATGAGGCTCTGCTACAAAAGCTACATGACCACTGGCTTCCAGGCCCTGCACTATGGCCAGGCTGTACGGGAGGTCAACAACATGGTGAGAAGATAAAGGAGGTGGGTGGGCATTGTTTGGATTATCAGCAGGAATAAATGTAGGTCCTGGTCTGTGAAGCTTTCAATATATTCCCTTAGTACGGCATTACTGGACAAGGGCTGGAATAAGGGGCTACTCTAGCAACTACTAGTAGGCTGACCAGTATCGGCATAGACAAAAAAAAAAAGTTTGTTGCCTGCACACCGTGTATCTAACAGTAGTCCAAATGTTTGTTTAAACAGCATTCCTCAACCGGGGTGCCATTTGGATTTCCCCCAGGGTGCCATAAGCATGGGTCCCAATTTGCAGTGTGTCCCCACCATGACTTACCATTGAGCGGGCAGCTCAGCCCACCAGCACCATAACAATTAGTGATGCTCTAGGGTAGGATGTTTGGTGCTGTTCATCTCTGTGGTGTTCACAGCTAGTCTGTCTGCACCAATGGAATTCATGATGCTGATCCAGGGCAGGCAGCATGCAGGGCCACCCCCAGCATTCAGAAGACAGAAGTGCACCTCCTGCCCTGTGCCATGCTGCCAAAAGGTGGGGTTCTGATGTGAAGAGGGAACTGTATAATGGGGGGACCTCTGACATGAAGGGGGACCACATTTCATCACACAAGTGAAGATGTATCCCATAATACTTATATAGGTGTGCCTCGGTTAATGTAATTTTCGGTTATAATTGAAAATAATGCCTCTGTTTACAATTTTTTTTTTTTTTTTTTTTTTTTGCAATACGAACGGATTAATTGGTTTGCAATGCATTTACAAATTTTTTTTTTAATCCTGTCCCTGTACAGAATTTATGCCTTTAAAGTGCACTTTAAAAAAAAAAAAAAAAAAAAAAAAAAAAAAAAAAAAGCCTCATCTGTGAAACTCTTTATAAAGTGCACTTTAAAGGTATAAATATTGTACAGGGACAGGATTAAAAAAAATTCGTAAATGTATTGAAAACCAATTAATCCGTTCTGGAGGTCAGAAAAAAGAAGAAGAAAAAAAAAAAGTATAACAAGATAAGGCTTTTTTTTTTTTTTTTTTTCTGACCTCATCTGTTCAAAACTCTTTATACTTTTTTTTTTTTTTTTTCCTTACCTCCGGAACGGATTAATTGGTTTTCAATACATTTACAATTTTTTTTTTTAATCCTGGCCCTGTACAGTATTTATGCCTTTAATGTGCACTTTATAAAGAGTTTTGAACAGAAGACTTTTAAAAAAAAAAAACAAAACTTTTTTTCTGACCTCCAGAACGGATTAACTGGTTTTCAATGCATTCCTATGGGAAACTGCGTTTCAGTTTACAAATTTTTCACAATACGAAAAGTCCCGCAGAACGCATTAAATTCGTAAACCGAGGTACGCCTGTACTGGTATTTTTCTTCTAGAAGTTCTCGAAGAATATCACGCGATTATCTCATAACATCCATTTCCCTGCCCATAATCCCCTCACATCTAGGCACTTCAGTGACATTACATTCATTGCAATTCCCAGTCTCATTCCATCACCATATATTGGGTGTAACGTATATTTAGGATTCCAGTACAGTTGCCGTGATGTAAATTGCTGTCTGTTATTACAGGATCGTCGTACGTGGTTCCCTTTATTCAAAGTGAAATGAATGTTGATGTCCATATGATGTCTTTAATCCCTTAGATGGAAACAAAGCTTTCATCCCCTGGGGGATGTGTCATCTTACTGGGATACACTTCCAATCTGATCAGCTCCGGTGTGCGAGAGATCATCCGTTATTTGGCAGAACACAACATGGTGAGAAATGAAAGTATACCTCTAGATTTTTAAATGTATCCGTGTGGAAAGGGAGAGTGAACTGTAAGTGGACCTAGCATCAGAGGAACTGGCCAGAATAGGCAGACATGTTCAGTCTTTAACCATCTCCTTTTGCGTGGCTCTTCTTTTCTGAGCATTTTTCTTAGTGCTATAGTCACTAGCAGGGGCAGACTGACCATTTGGAAACTCGAGCACTGCCCGAGGGCCCGGGATCAGTAGGGGGCCCCATGAGATGCCCCTGGTACTTTTTTTTTTTTTTTTTCATAGACTTTTTTTGAGTTTGGGCAAGGACACAGGGGCCCCATGATGCCCTATTGCCCGGAGGCCCCATGAGTTGTCAGTCCGCCCCTGGTCACTAGTTATATGCAGCCCTTTGGTAATGTCAGGGACTGCACTTGAGACCCTCTAGAAAAAGAAAGGAGACACACACTGCTTTTAAATTATTATTATACAGTATTTATAAAGCGCCAATAGTTCGCTCAGCTCTGTACATTACAAAGGGGGACAGAACATGTGACAGAACAATAACAATACAATGCAAAACATGAGGGGATTGAGGGCCCTGCTCTTTCGAGCTTACAATCTAGGAGGGAGGGGATGGTGGCACAGGAGGAGATAGCTGTGGGGGATGGAGTGGTAGGAAGAGTGGAGGAGGTCGGCAGGTTAGCAGGGGGTGGGGTAGGCTTCCCTGAAGAGATGGGTTTTCAGGGTGCGCCTAAAGGAGAGGAGAGTAGGTGATAATCTGATGGGTTGGGGCAGGGAGTTCCAGAGGATGGGTGACACCCTGGAGGCGGGCATGGGAGGAGGAGACCAGGGAACTAGAGAGAAGGAGGTCTTGTGAGGAGCGGAGTGTGCGTGCTGGGCGGTACTTGGATATTAGGTCGGTGATGTAGTTCGGGGCAGTATGGTGGACGGCTTTGTACGTCAGTGTTAGGATTTTGAATTTGATCCGTTGCGCAATCGGAAGCCAGTGGAGGGATTGGCAGAGGGGGGTGGCGGAGATGGAGCGGTTGGAAAGGTGAATGAGTCTGGCAGCCGTGTTCAGGATGGACTGAAGCGGGGGGATAGCCTGTGGCGAGGCAGGCCAGTGAGGAGGGAGTTGCAGTAGTCGAGTCGTGATATGATGAGGGAGTGGATGAGCTGTTTAGTGGTTTCTGGGGTTAGGAACGTGCGGATTTTGGCGATGTTGCGGAGGTGGAGTCTGCACGAGTTTGTTAAAGATTGGACTTGGGGCTGGAAGGATAGGTTGGAGTCCAGAATGACACCAAGTACTCTGGCCTGCGGGGCGGGTTTGATGGTGGCGTTGTTGGATGTGACGGAGAAGTCAATGGGGGGTGGTGTCCAGGCTGGGGGGAAGACAAGAAACTTGGTTTTGGAGAGATTCAGTTTAAGGAAGTGGAGCGACATCCAATCTGATATGTCGCTCAGTAGGTGTGTGATTCGGGCAGAGACCGAGGGGGTGAGGTGGGGGGTTGAGAGATAGATTTGTGTGTCGTCGGCATAGAGGTGGTAGTTGAAGCCGTGAGAGTGTATGAGAGTTGGCCAAGGGAGGAGGTGTAGATGGAGAAGAGAAGGGTAAATGATCAGTTGTGAGTGCTCCATGTCATTACTATCTTTTGTTCATCAGTCAGAGTTGGCATCCACTGAGATGCTAGGACAGACATGCAAATCCTGGTGCCTGTGCAATTCCTGGCTGTGTTTTCAAATGTCTGACACAGATCAGCCCCTGTTAAACCCCATCCCCTTGTGACTTGCTACAAATTTATCATGCTGTAGTTGCACTGGGGAGGGGAAGACAGAGGAAATTTGACTTCAAATATATTTTCTTTTACAAAGTGTTTGAGATTTTTAGAAGACAATGTACAGCACAAGATCTCAATACAACAGGTAATACATTAAAAAAAAAAGTGGTAAGGGAACAAAATGATACAATATGGGCCAGTGGGTCATTCATAGCGAGGGCAGCGCATGAGAAGACGGATATTGATACAATAACTGCTAAAAAGGCCGAATGATCAAGCTTCAGATTTATAGCTGCCCAAAGGAGTTTATGAACCTGCGGGGGGCCTGCATCTCATAGCTAATTGGGGCTGTCGACCTCCTTATGGAGGAGGCAGTGTTCGCCCTCTGAGCGAACTAGTGGACAAAGACCATGACTTCAGATATATTTTAATCAAGACCCTTCTAAATGAGTCTAAAATCATCATAGCTCCTTTATATTGAAAACATCTGCACTTTGGGAAGAGTCTACACAGCCCTCTAATCCATAATCCATACTGGAGATACTGGCAGAGAAAGCTGACAACACTGCTGTAAATTCAGGAGCAGTGTTGTCAGCCCTTTACTGGAAATGACCAAAAGTGTGAAATAGAAACAGGCTGAACAGGTTAAAAGTGCAAAGAATAAATGTAGCTTTGGGCGTATACAGAAGAATTAATGAAGGATTTCACATTTGATACTGCACATAATGATTTTTGCATAGAGTTTTGCACTTTAATGTGTCTGTGTGGGGTTTTTTTTTTTTTTTTTTTTTCCTCCCTCTGTGCAGGTTGATGTCATTGTAACAACAGCAGGTGGCATAGAAGAGGACTTGATAAAATGTCTTGCACCCACATACTTGGGGGACTTCAGCATGAAGGGGGCAGATTTAAGGCCAAAGGGCATCAACAGGTACATTTGTTTTTTAATGTGGTCATTGACTTTGTCATCCCTCTACAATGAGCGTTCTTCATCTTCTCCTTCCTTCACCTGCTGACCATTGGACCCAAGTTGTTTTTATTTTTCTCATCTGTGATCACTTGATACGTCTGCTGATTCTTCCTGCCTTTTTGTTTGCTCTGATGCCTTACTACAAGTCTTTTCTGCAGGATCGGTAATCTTCTTGTTCCAAATAATAATTACTGTCTGTTTGAGGACTGGATCACCCCAATACTGGACCAGATGGTGTTAGAGCAAGACACTGAGGTGAGGGAATATGTGAGGACTGGGCAATTTAATTGGTGTGACTTGCACAAAACCACAATGATTTTAATGTCTTCCACTACAGGGGACTAAGTGGACACCATCTAAGATGATTGCTCGTCTAGGGAAAGAAATTAATCACCCAGACTCTGTCTATTACTGGGCCTATAAGGTAAGTATTCATGATGCCAAAAAAGAGCTATGTGCCATGGAGTCTGTCCCTCCCACCCAGGGTGACACAGGCAGGCAGAGATCTGTAATATGGAGTCTGTCTCTCCCGCCACAAGGTGACAGACAGGAGGAGCTATGTGACATGGGATCTGTCCCTCCCACCACAAGGTGACACAGACAGGAGGAGCTATGTGACATGGGATCTGTCCCTCCCACCACAAGGTGACACAGACAGGAGGAGCTATGTGACATGGGATCTGTCCCTCCCGCCACAAGGTGACAGACAGGAGGAGCTATGTGACATGGGATCTGTCCCTCCCACCACAAGGTGACACAGACAGGAGGAGCTATGTGACATGGGATCTGTCCCTCCCACCACAAGGTGACACAGACAGGAGGAGCTATGTGACGTGGGATCTGTCCCTCCCACTACAAGGTGACACAGACAGGAGGAGCTATGTGACATGGGGGTCTGTCCCTCCTACCACAGGGTAACACCACCCAGTAGGACCCATGTGATGTTGAGTTTCCCCCCCCCCCCCCCCCCTACAGGGTGACACAGACAGGAGGACCCATGTGACGTTGAGTCTTCTCCCCCCCCCCCCCCCACTATAGGATGACACCGACAGGAGGAGCTATGTGACATGGGGGTCTGTCCCTCCCACCACAAGGTGACACCGACAGGAGGAGCTATGTGACTTAGGGTCTGTCCCTCCTACCACAGGGTAACACCACCCAGGAGGACCCTCCCACTACAGGGTGACACAGGAGGAGCTATAAGACCTAGGTTGTGGCAGTCATTGTTTTCTCTTTGTCTTTGTACAGAACAATATCCCTGTGTACAGCCCAGCACTGACAGATGGCTCTCTGGGTGATATGCTCTATTTCCATTCGTACAAGAATCCTGGCTTAAAGTTGGACATTGTAGAAGGTACACATAAGATCTTCTGTAATAGACTAGAATATTGATTCAAAAATATAGGCTATAGTTCATTCCATTATTATCTGCTCCATTGTGAAGCCTAATTCTTCTAAGACCGCACCAGGGGTTCAGTGTTTTATGCCGAATAAATGCACGGTTATGGCTCCACACACCCATCTTCCAAATTTCTAACGTTACTCTTACTGTTTTGTGACTATGGTCTTTCTAAGTGTAGGAGAAATTCTTGATGGGAAAAAAAAAATCTTTTCATTGCTGTTCAGGCTCTATTGGGTGGAAAAGGCTGATTAGGCAATTTTTAGATTATATAAGGGGAGTTTGTAAGTTTTTTTTTTTATTTTTTTTATTTTTTTTACAATATAGTATATTTACAGCTTTTTATCCAGCTTCTTGCTGGTAGTGTCTCATAATACATGTCTATGGGAATGGCTGTTATGGTCCTCTGTAGAAAACCGCCAAAACTGATTGATTTATAATTTTTCTACACTTTTGATTTTCCATCCAGATATCCGCCGGCTGAATTCCTCTGTGGTCTTTGCCAAAAAGACGGGAATGATCATTTTGGGAGGAGGATTAGTTAAACACCACATTTGCAATGCTAATCTCATGGTAAGAATGTGGAGGCCTCCAAGGGCTCCAGGCTTCTATAATCATGTGAATTCTTTGCCAGGAGGTGTGTGTGTATAATATATATATCTCGCTGTCTCTCCTGTGCTGGGTGTTGTCTGTACCCCTGTGTGTTATGTACAGAGGTAGAGGATTCCCAGTGCTATGTCTTCAGTGCCAGCTCTCCTATGAGCTGCTTTTATCCTCTATCACTGACAAAAGTGTCTTCTATCTATGGAACCCTATTTCTGTAGCAGCAGAAGACCATCACTGGTCTTTCATGAAGTTCTTCAGCCTTTGCTGCCTCTGGTTTAGGGCGACAGGACCTAGAATGGCAATTCCTGCAGCTTTTCTGTTTTGTGAAGCCTGGCAGTGAAATGTGAAACAAGTATATATCATTGGGCTGGTGTGGATGTTACCCTCACTAGTTCTGATGTTGCTGAGAGCAGGAAGTGAGGCAGACATTTTAAGATCCCTAAGATGTGGTGTGTATTTGTGTGCATTGAGGGGCTTAATAAAATGTGGCTTTAGATATACTTTACCACCCTAACCGCACCATGTACAAAAGGTATGGAGATTTAAAGGAGGAGTAGGGCCAAAGCTCTTTTGGCCCTACTTCTCCTGTAGGTTACAGGAGTGCATTTCGTTCTGCACTCCTGTGCCTGTATTCAGCCAACAGCGGCCTAAAGCCCGTTTATGTAACAGAATCGGTCCACACTCTGGAGATATCCCAACTTTAATGTCTGGATACACCCAGATGCCTGACTAAGCAGCTGGCTCAGCCTCTCAGCAAGCCACTAAAAGCTCACTGGAGGGGCAGAGCAGAGAGCCAGTGAGTCATTGCTCTCTCTGCTCAGTGGAGATAGAGAACTGAGTGATCAGCAGTCTTTGATGGCTCAGTTCTATGTCAGGGGACAGATGCAGCATCACATTGCTACTGCATCCACGTAGGTGAGTGTAGGTTTTAAGGTGCATCTGGAACAGGGCCTAAAGTGTATATAAACCCAAATAAATACGTGCTCCCTTTTGTGCCTTGTAAAGGTAGTTGTGCAAATGTTTTTTTATCTTTTTTATATTTGAGTAAATTTGCAATAAATTTCTGGCGATCCTGTCCGTCCTCTGTTCTCTATGAGCCATTCTTTAATAGGGTAACCGCCAGCTCTCAATGCTAAGGATGATTGTCGCCCTCGTGTGTGATTTTTATAGGCAGCTTTTCATTTACCCAGCTTGCACCAGTCAATGCCCCCTGCTGATCAATTGACAGCTGCACTAATTACAATAGCCACTTTTGCTGGACATCTTGACCTGTTACAGGAAGTAGAAAAATAAAGAATCTGCTGGCAGGATCAACAAGTAATGAAACTTTGTTACAAGGGGACTGAGAAAAACCAACACTGCTGTCTTAAAAAATAATTGTGGCAGACTGCTCCAGTTTTTTAGTAACCACCAGGTTGCACCTCAGACTGTCCAGGAGCTCAGTGATGCCCGGGTCCAGATCTGGGAGGAAATCCCCCAGGACACCATCCGTTGTCTCATTAGGAGCATGCCCCGACGTTGTCAGTCATGCATACAAGCACGTGGGGGCCATACAAACTACTGAGGACCATTCTGAGTTGCTGCAATGAAATTTCAGCAAAATGGACTCGCCTGCTGCATCGTTTTATCACTTTGATTTTTGGGTGTCTTTGAATTCAGTCCTCTGTAGGATAATTTTCATCAAACGACGGGCCATCCTTACATTCCTAAACACACAACCCCATCCAGAGATATCCAGCATGATATTTTTCCCCATTGAGATTTGATGTGTTCCTTTAAATTTTTTTGAGCCGTGTATATTGCAGACCGCATACAAAACAGCTTTGTATAGTAACAAATCCGCTTCTAGCTTCAGTTTTAAGCGGAGTATCACCAAAAAAGGGAAGTTCTGCTTTAACGACTTGTCCCCTGCTCCCTGTACCCTCTCCCACTCCAACCGTCTAGGTCAGGGGTAGGCAACCTGAGAGCTGCAGGACTACAAGTTCCATCATGCCTCTGCAAGTCATAGCTGTAACTATCAGTTTTGTAATCTTTGCAATGCCTCATGGAAAATGTAGTTCCACAACAGCTAGAGAGCCACAGGTTGCCTACCCCTGGCGCCTAGGCGATCGGAAGCTGATGTCCCCTCCTTCCCCACCCCCCCCCCCCCCCCCCCCACCCTCCCCCCCCCCCCCCCCCCCCCCCCCCCCCCCCCCCCCCCCCCCCCCCCCCCTCCCACCCCCCCCCCCCCCCCCCCCCTCCCCACCCCATCCCCCCCCCCCCCCCCACACCTAGCCCCCCCCCCCCCCCCCCCCCCCCCCCCCCCCCCCCCCCCCCCCCCCCCCCCCCCCCCCCCCCCCCCCCCCCCCCCCTCCTTCCCCCCCCCCCCCCCCCCCCCCCCCCCCCCCCCCCCCCCCCCCCCCCCCCCCACCCCCCCACCCCCTTCCCCCCACCCCCCCCCTCTCCCCCCCACCCCCCGCCCCCCCCCCCACCCCCCCCCCCTCCCCAGAGGAGACTGGAGCTCTGCTTTTAAGCTTTAGAAAAGAAAGCTCGAGGCCAATTGGTTGCAATGCACATCTGCTCCCGATTTTCTCTCTGCTCCAGTCTTAGCAAACTCCTCATGTAATGTATTTTGGACACTTTAATATATAAAAAAAACTTCCCTAGCCTCCTCCTCTTTTGCTGCAAACCCATAGAAATTTGTAAATAATGAACAAGCTCTATACAAATCTTTTTTGCCATCCTTGCTCTTCTGCTATAGAGGAATGGTGCAGATTATGCCGTGTATATCAACACAGCGCAGGAATTTGATGGTTCGGACGCTGGTGCCAGACCTGATGAAGCAGTGTCATGGGGGAAGATTCGCATGGATGCCAACCCAGTCAAGGTTTGTGAATATCTATATTCCATCATAAAACCAAGTTCCTGAAAGTGGTTGTAAAGGCAGATTTTTTTTTTTTTAAATAAAATGTCATACCTGCTCTGCACAATGGTTTTGCACAGAATAGCCCTGATTCTCCTCCTCTCGGGTCCTCCCACCGGTGCTCCTGACCCCCCTCTCCTGCCAAGCTGCTTGCTGTGGGGGCACCCAAGAAGGCTCGCTCCTGAGCCACCGCTCCGCCCATTCATACAAACATGGCTCTGCCCCACCTGCTCTCTTCTCATTGACTCACTGGCAGTGATTGACTGACAGTAGCAGGAGCTGTCTCAGCCAATGAGGAGGGAGAGTCCCAGGACAGCTGAGGCTCTCATGCACATCGCTGGATCAAGATGGGGCTCAGGTAAGTTGTGTGTGTGTGTGTTTTAGAATGCAGGAAGGTTAAAAAACCTTGAGCCTTTACAACTACTTCAAATCAGCACCACTCTAACCAAATAAATCTCCTCTATGGTCTTCCCTTTACAGGTCTATGCAGATGCCACCCTGGTATTTCCTCTGCTGGTGGCACAGACGTTTGCGCAGAGACATGCAGATTTCACAAAGCAGAAAGACCAGGATCCATAAAATGGAGAAATGTACACCTAAGAGTCCCTCCGTTCATAAAGCATGCTGGTTTTCTGGGTGCTGCACTGTTACCTTTTGTTTTTTTTAACCTGTTATCCTCAGCAGCAGCAGGGTTCCAGGGCTTCTGCAGCATGCATGTAAATATATAAATTTTATGTATCCTGATAGAAAATTGTATGTAAATAGATATGTATATATATGTTGTTTTACAAGGACAGGAGAGTTGCAAACTCAGTGACCGGGAATGCTTGGACTTTTGGTTCAGTAGCTGGAAGTGTTACTAAAGTAAGAAAACAAATTATTACACCAAGTCAAGCAAAGTTTGACTTGATTATGCCCACCAATGCACCCCCTTTTTAAAAAGACCTACAAATTATAGGAAACCTGTACTGGGATAATATAGCGAAGCCTTTCTCAACCTTGAAGGACCGTCAACTTAAATTATTAGATCTGCAGCTCATGGTAAAAAAAGTAGATCTACTAATAACAAAAGAATAAAGAATGTTGCATACCTACAGTATCTACCACCCGGTTTTGGACCCTGTAAAAAAAAACATAAAAAAAAAAAAAATCTTCCTCTACAAAAAAAAAAAATAAAAAATACAAAAGTATTTTTTTAATACTTTTCAAAAGAACTCCAAAAATTGCCAATTTGGAAAGGGCAATGAAGGAAGACCCCTTTAACTCAATGTTTAGGGTAGCGCCCTCTAATATTTGTGGCCAGTGTGAAGAATGTCTCTTACTTTGATGGTCAGTGGGAAGAATTTATCCCATACTGTTAGTGTAACTTATCTAGGATCAATAAGAACTGGTTTTATACAGTTGGTTCTGTCAAATGTTTTTGGTCCTAGCACTATGCAGGCACCATCATGTGGGAGGTCAATCCACCAATGCATATGAATCCCTGGTTGAAAATTGGCTGATATAGATTCTATTATTGATGACCTTCTCATAGATTCTATTATCATTGACCTTCTCGTAAGAATACTAGTTTCTTGGTTGCCTCTGGCTCCACCAATCTATGTCTAAAACAAGCATGAAGCTAGTGAAGTCAAAACAGCAGATTTTACATGTGTCCTGATCTGGAAGTATGGAAGCCATTGGGCCAGCATGCCAGCTAGCATTCTCAGAAGGAGAGGTCTGAAGTGATAGGCTCCCTATTTTCTCAGTATTGGTTTCCTTTAAGGGTACCTGCTGCCTGACAATTGATTGAGGCAGCTTGCCCACTCGGATGCTGCAGGCTGAGCAAGAACTGTCATATAGTTTGGCTGGTATTTAACAGTATGGCAACAGTTCTCTCTGCTCAGCCAATAGAAATTTTCTGCAGAATACATGCAGATGTCTCTTGACTGGTGGCCCTCAAGAAGGGTGGTCTTGGCTGGTGCTATTAGGGTGACTAGGTGGCGTTTCCTCCTGTGCATAAGGGGTAGATCTGATCATTGATAAAGTGAACCTCTGCTATGTCAACGTATGCATATACTTGCCTTTTATGTCACTCCTACGCTGGTAGCAAAGAAAATACCCAGTCTTCTGGGTATAGTGGATAATGTGACTTATTTCCCTTCCTCTTTGGGCACAGTACTGCAGCTTGGACCAGTGCTGTCCAATAGGGCAGGAAGACTGATCTCAGCCTTGTCTAAGCTCTGACTAAAATCAATTTGGAGCTTACCCAGAGCTGCTCCTTTAATTTGCTTTTGGTAGCAAACTTAGGTGTCCGTTTTATGAACCAGCAGTAATAGATCGCTGCTCAGTTCTCTGGCATTCTCAGAGAACACCGTTCTCCTGTGAATGCCGTTTATGAAGCATATGTAGATCAGTTCTCCAAACGAAGGGCGAACGGTCTACAAACGCTGGAAAACGGCTGATTTTACTATAATCTCGCGAGATTACAGTAAAAGATCAGTTTACTAAGCAGAGGTAAATTATCTCTGCTTAGTTTTCGGTCCCTCTGATTCTCCAGCTCTGGGCTGGAGAATCTGGAGGGAGAACACAGATCTCCAGAGAAGGGCTGAACATATTCTCCTGGGTGTTATAAACTGTGAATGACCAGAGAATAGCTGCGATCCTCTGAATCTCCGCTATTCTGTGTGTCATAAACGGACACCTTTGTGGTGATGGATCTAATGGAATGTATTTTTAGATGATGCAGGGATCTGCTTTACACCCTGCATGGGCAAAGTGCAGGTTTACCTTAGGGTCACGTCTGCCTTATTGCAGCAATAAAATAGAGCTGGAAAGATTACCACTTTAGGAAGTCTATCGGAGTGAAAACATCGGAATACTATTGTTGAAATGCAAATAGGACAAAATGGCAGCGCTGTCATCTTTGTTCGCTCCCTGTTATTTGAGTGACAACCCAGGACATGGTACCTTTTTAAGGGCCAAGTCCTACCTTTTGCAGAGAAAAAAAAATGAATGCACCCAATATGTGATTTTTATTTGCAGTTGCAATACTTTCCAGGCTCCTATGCAAAAAATAATCAGCTGATCTTTGGTGCAATGCTCTGACTCCTGCAGACTATTCATGCAGTCTTTGGTTACAGTGCTGGAGGAACTTTCAATAGAATAGTGTGGTGACATCACTGCACTTGTGCTTCATTGAGAACTACCCTCCCTCTATGCCTTGATGGCATACAGGACCTGCAGTTTTTTTCATAAACCGATTCCTATGAATGATGCAGCTATGCGGGAGGAGGATATTTTACACCCTAGATATGGGTGTAACTTGGAACATGATCACAAAGGTGAACTAAGGCTAGTCCATACTAGCCCGCACAATGTGGCTGGCTGTGGGTATCAATGAGTTTCTCTTGCGAGACACATTGAGGGTACTGTTCATTCTGAATGCTACCCCCCATGCATCTCATCCTGCAGCTCGATTGGGAAAAAGACCATGTGGTTTCTGAACGGATGCGTTTTGGAAAAGGTACATGCACCTTTTCCTTGTGTGAAACATAGGCACAGCAGCAAATCAAATCGATGGGCTGCTGTGCCTGCGCACACATGGGCTAAACGGCCTGACTAGTGTGAACCAGGGGTTAGGTTTTAAGGGATTCTCTAGGATAGAGAGATATCTACATGTTGGGGTGGTGTTTTTTTTTTTTTTTTCTTTGTATTCTTCCTAGTTTTATTTTTTTACTTTGTTTGGTAATTAAAAAAAAAAAAAAGTACCATCCACAGGCAGTGGTATATTTTACTTGTTTTTTTTAAATATAGTTTATATGAAAAATTAAAGTACCTCCCCTTCTTCTCTTTTTATTTATTTATTATTTTGTGTTTTTAGGTTCCATTTTTTCAGCAGCAAACTTCATATAGGCTATTCATAACTTAATGGCATCTGACAAAAAATACAAGCAGAGCAGTTTAGGGCTTTATTAGTGTAATCGGTACATTCTGAAAAGAATAGTTGTAAAAATGTTTGACTTTTTTTTTTTTTTTTTTTTGTATACTTGTATAAAGTTGTAATCTTAAAAGAAAAGACAGCAGTGGGCAGTTCCCATATTTGTTTTGACAGGTTCGTTTTTTTTTTTTTTTAACATGGCTACTTGTATACACCAGGATTTGGTAGTTGTCAGTGATGGTGTACAGGATTTGGTAGTGGTCAGTGATGGTGTACAGACCCAGCTGTCACTTGTAGTCCAGCCTACAGTCTGATTTCCCCGTCGTCCTATATTACATGAGAATGGCAGGGCTGTCATATTTTGTGCTGAATCGCTTCAGCCATGGTTGCTGTGATTTTAATTTATGTATTTAAGTTAATGTTTTGACAAAAATAAAATAGTTTCTGAAAATGGTATTTTGTTTCTGTTTTATTACAAAAAGAAATAAAATAAGTGGTGCACATATACAGAGGTGTTTTTTTTTTTTTTTTTTTTTGGTCAGCTGGATGAGTCCTCTTCAGGAGCTGCCTCTCTCCATACCTGGACTTCCCCCTCGCTGGCGGTTAGTAGACAAGGTTCTGTGGGGTGGTACGAGAGCGACTGGATAACACCTTTACTAACTGGGAGTTTGTATACAAGGGAGCCCTGCAGGATTGAAGAAGAGAGATGGTATTACTTGCCATTGCTGCCTCTTTGAAATGTAATATTACCTGTAATCAGGATATTAATGAGGAACTGCACTCTGGAAGCTGTACCTAAACAAGGGCAGCACAGGGACTATTCCCCAGTATTATCTGTGGTCTCCCCCCGCAAAAAATTAAAACAGGTGATCAAATACCACTGAAAGAAAGCTCTATATGTGGGGGGGGGAAAAGGACGTAAATGTAATTTGGATGCAGCGTTGCATGACCGTGCAATTGTCAAAGTAACAGTGCCGTATCACAAAAAATGGCCTGGTCAGGAAGGGGGGTAAATCCTCTGGTTAAAGGCTTGCCCGTAGGAAAAACTTACTTCCACCTTAACAAAATGAAATGGTTCAGAATTTCAATTTTTTTTTTTTTTTTTTTATTTTGAATAGCACAATGAACAGTGCAGCCGCTGAATGCCAGAGGGAGAGAGAGGATGAAAAGCCAGATTTCAGTGGTTGGAGGAAAATGAAGAGGAGCTGTTCCTTTTTAATGCCGGACCTCTTATCCAGGTGTAAAACAGAATATGGCAGGGAGGCTGCACGAGCCCCCTGGAGCATGGGGTGTGGATGTCATTGCATGTCTCAACTATAGGGGGGGTTAGGTTTGATGCTCCCCAAACCGCAAAGACAAACAAGCCTTACTGTGTAACTAGAAATACAGTGGATATAAAATGTCATCTTGACTAAGGCTCCAGTTCCAGCTGAAAATGTTGGGTTTGTGATGTAAAAAATTACAAATTTCAGAACTTTTTCCACCTTTTTTTATGTAACCTATAAACTGTACAACTCAGTTGAACAACAAACTTAAATCTTTTAGGAAGTAAAAATAAAACATCTGGTTGCATAAGTGTGCACACCCTTAGACTAATACTTTGTTGAAGCACCTTTTGATGCGATTCCAGCACTCAGTCTTTTCGGGGAGGAGTCTATCAGCATGGCACATCTTAACTTGGCAATATTTGCCCGCTCTTCCTTGCAAAAACACCCCAAATCTGTCAGATTGCGAGGACATCTCCTGTGCACAGCCCTCTTCAGATCACCCCACAGATGTTCGATCAGATTCAGGTCTGAGCTCTGGCTGGGCCATTCCAAAACTTTCATCTTCTGGTGAAGCCATTCCTTTGTTGATTTGGATGTATGCTTTGGGTTGTTGTCATGCTGGAAGATGAAGTTCCTCTTCATATTCAGCTTTCTAGCAGAAGCCTGAAGGTTTTGTGCCAATATTGACTGGTATTTGGAACTGTTCATAATTCCCTCTACCTTGACTAAGGCTCCAGTTCCAGCTGAAGAAAAACAGCCTCAAAGCACCACTGCCACCACCATGCTTCACAGTGGGTATGGTGTTCTTTTGGTGATGTGCAGTGTTCTTGTGCCAAAAAGTTCAGCCTTGGTTTCATCAGACCATAACACATTTTCCCACATGCTTTTGGGAGACTTCCGATTGTGTTTTTGCAAAATTTAGCCGGGCTTGGATATTTTTTCTTCGTATGAAAAGGTTTGTCTTGCCACTCTCTCCCATATTCTTCATGTCTCGGCTATGGGGTATTGTTGTCACATGTACCACACAGCCAGTACTTGCCAGATATCCCTGCAGCTCCTTTAATGTTGCTATAGGCCTCTTGGCAGCCTCCCAGACCAGTTTTCTTCTTGTCTTTTCATCAATTTTGGAGGGACGTCCAGTTCTTGGTAATGTCACTGTTGCGCCATATTTTTTCCACTTGATGACTGTCTTCACTGTGTTCCATGGTATATCTAATGCCTTGGAAATTCTTTTGTACCCTTCTCCTGACTGATACCTTTCAACAATGAGATCCCTCTGATGCTTTGGAAGCTCTCTGCAGACCCTGGATTTTGCTGTAGGATGCGACTAAGAAAGTGTCAGGAAAGGCCTACTAGAACAGGTGAACTTTATTTGGTGTTAATCAGAGGCACTTTAAATGATGGCAGGTGTGTAGTGACTCCTATTTAACATGATTTTGAATGTGATTGCTTAATTCTGAACACAGCTTCATCCCCAGTTACAAGAGGGTGTGCACACTTATGCAACCACATTTTATTTTTTTAATGTTTACTCCCCCTAAAAGATTTTGTTTGGTTTTTGAACTAGTTGTACAATTTATAGGTCACATTAAAAGGTGGAAAAGGTTCTGAAATGATTTTTGTCTAATTTTTTTTTACATCACAGAAACCTGACATTAACGGGTGTGTAGACTTTTTATATCCACTGTATTTCTCTCCTTTTTTCAATGCATCCTAGAATCTAAGGAGTATTGGTGGTTTATGGGCAGCACACAGCTGCTAATAACTCCCTTTTGTGATTCACTTATCTCATTAACTTAAAACTAATTTAACTGGCATTAACTCCCTTCAGTAGCAAATTTACTGCTCAGACGATGCAGAAAAGAAGACATCTGATAAACAAACTAGCTTTCTGGCTACAATGAGGATATACAACTTGGGCTGCTTTAATTCTGGCACACTACCTAGAAAATTCATCTAATTAAGACTGAAATTTAATTTTGTGTAATTGGCAAATACATAAAGAGAACCTGTCAGGATGGCAATATGGATACAACCATTTCATACGTGTAATCAAAAGATGCAATTTTACCAGCTGTTTTCTAATCCATCTCTTGGCAGGTCCAGTAGTTAAGAGTTACCAATTCACTTTCCATGGGTCAGTGACTTGTTAGATGATTATGACAGCCCTAAAGCTACCCCCTATAAACAGCAAGCTGGAGCAAGTGGCTCCCAAATCTAATCACTTTAGCGCACATCTTGAAAAGGAATTTTGAGATCTCAGACTGATGCATAGAACATATCTGAGATTGCTTCCTACTAGGAATGAATATATATAAATTTTTTTTTTTTTTTTTTGTAATGATGGAAAGCAAATCACCTCGACTAAGTCCCAGAAACAGACAGTCCCATCCTCAGAGCAGCTGACCACATGCGTGTCCTTCTCACTCAGGCAGCTGTCCAGCTTGCAGCTCTTGTTCTGGTGTCCTGTGTACCTGATAGGGCAAAACAAAGTAAGGGTCTGCTCACACCACCCCAATGTACTAAAAACAAAAATGTAACATACTGTAGTTCCTTAGATGCGGTGGCTGCATTAGTCGTCTTTTTTCTCCATTATGTTTACCTGGTGATCCTGCAAAGAACACTGTTCCTGTGCCCTTGTGTCTACACTAATGTCTTTAATGCATCTATGGAGGGAGCCATAGTTATCAAACAGGCTGGACTTCTACCATGTCTGCCTTTTGTTCTTCTCCATTACATGGTGGAATAAGGTGCCAGTAGTTTAGACAAAGATTTTTCTGACTCCTTTTTGACTCACAGGAAATGACCAGGTCACAGCATTCCTAGTAAGATCAACAGGTATATTCTGGAAATGATTTTAGCCTGAGTTCACATCAGTCCGGTATGTTAAATCCCATGTGATTCGCACAGGAACCGCACTCCTGTACAAATCACATTTGATTTGTATGCGTTGCGATTGGAGCCATACATTTTGTATGGCTCTATTTCAGTGGTTCTCAACCTTCCTAATGCCGTGACCCTTTAATACAGTTCCTCATGTTGTAGTGACCCCCAACCATAAAATTATTTACCCAGTAATTATAATTCATGAGTGTCGTTTTACCTCCAATACTGCTGCTTTCAACACAGTAGCTGCTTTTAACAGAGTAGCTGCTTTCTACACAGTAGCTGCTCTTTACACATCGGAAATATGTGTTTTCTGATGGTCTTAGGGGACCCCTGTGAAAGGGTCGTTTGACCCCCAGGTTGAGAACCACTGCTCTATTTGCACCAAAAACATGCAGCATCCTTTTTTAATCTGCACTAGAATCGAACCGCATAAGTATTCACACCTATACAATCTGATTCTGCACATTGCACTGCCTTTTGCGGACCGATGTGGGGGTGTCATTAACATACACACCCGCAGCGGTTAGCATGAACGGAGTGTGATTCTGATGTGGTGCGGAATTTGCACTGAAAACGCTGCAAATTCCTCACCGCATCAGTGTGAACCAGGGCTGAAAAATATACTGCATTGTATTACATTTTTGTTTTTAGGCTTGGACATGCTTTAAATACAAATACACAGTCTGTGTGCCTCCTATAGCCATGGCTCTTACACTACAAACATCCACCCCACATCCATGGGCATGTGAGTTCTGGGAAAACATGACCTCACAAGGTATGGCATCGGTAGTTCAGTGACCATTACCAAATACACTGCTTCTAAAATAACACAAGAGTGCCTAGTGGAGGCTGGTCCCACCTAAAGCCTGCTACCTACACATTGACAATTACATCATGAAATTAGAAAGCTGTTCAGGCATATCTTATGTAATGTAAAACAGAATTTGTAATGACAAGTTCCCTTTAGTAACACAGTAATGAAAATTCAATATAGCACCAAGGAAAAGAAAACGTGGATGTTCATTGGGCTAAATGCTGCATTTAGTCATCTAGAACTGCAGGTGTGTAGCTTTGCTTTACTGCTCAATGATGTAGTCTAGTCTCTCAACCTTCTACTAGGGCAAACCCTTGAAATGATTTTCCTGTCTCAGGGAACCCCTGATAAGATTTGTCCATTGGGGTCATTGAAAAAAGTATCTTAGATTGGTGGTCAGTGGAAAGAAAGTTCCCCATCCATTGAGGGTTAGACTGCCATCCTTACAGACAGCTTTATAGATCATTGGCATCATGCTCCTGCCTCTGCCAAGTCGTGATGAAGCCAGGATCTATGAAGGCTCTATCAGATGGGAGCTCAAGGAACCCCTAGCAACCTCTGAAGGAACCCTGGTGGAGAATGGCTAATCTAGACTAGTGTTCAAGTTCTGTAACGCAAAACAAATCCCCGAACAACCACTCAGAGCTGACTGATCTGCAAAAAACAACCCAGAAAATCTGTAGCTACTATAGTTTACCAGACTTTGCACATTTTAATCGCTGCTGCACTAGCTTACTGTAGAATGTCGGAAGCTGACATTTTATGATATGGAAGTGGCACCATTGGATTGGGTCGTGGTTGGAGTCATCTTTATTTATCATCGCAGTGTTCCACTTACTCTCCTAATAGTTCTCCTGAGTCCTTATCGAGGAGGCGGAGTGTGGAGTCTAGGGATGAACAATAGGCACTGTGAATCCTGGCTGAAACTCACACATGTAATGGGACCTGCAAAAAAGAACAATACAGAAAACTACAGGAAAACCAAACTGGTGACTGTAAATGACAATGACAGACAATCACACCAAGCCTTATAATGACACCCAGTTCTATACGTCAATAATAATTACTCTATAATAATGAAACTATAGAGTACCTATACACCGATAATGATCACACCGCACCGTGTATATATACACCAATAATGATCACACCGTGTATATATACACTGATAATAATCACACCGCGCCGTATAATGACACCGAGTATATATACGCCGATAATGATCACACCGCGCCGTATAATGACACCGAGTGTATATACACCGATAATGATCACACCGCCCCGTATAATGACACCGAGTACATATACACCGATAATGATCACACCGCGCCGTATAATGACACCGAGTATATATACACCGATAATGATCACACCGCGCCGTATAATGACACCGAGTATATACACCGATAATGATCACACCGCGCCGTATAATGACACCGAGTATATATACACCGATAATGATCACACCGCTCCGTATAATGACACCGAGTATATATACACCGATAATGATCACACCGCTCCGTATAATGACACCGAGTATATATACACAGATAATGATCACACCGCGCCGTATAATGACACCGAGTATATACACACCGATAATGATCACACCGCGCCGTGTATATATACACCAATAATGATCACACCGTGTATATATACACTGATAATAATCACACCGCGCCGTATAATGACACCGAGTATATATACACCGATAATGATCACACCGCTCCGTATAACGACACCGAGTATATATACACCGATAATGATCACACCGCTCCGTATAATGACACCGAGTATATATACACCGATAATGATCACACCGCGCCGAATATACAGAAGTGAGGATTAATCTATAATGAGTTTATTTAAAAAATGTTGCAAAGTTGGCTGAACAAACAGAACATTTGGTGCTCCATGAATGAAAGAGATGGGATTATTAATCTGTATTGACAGGGACTTACTGCCAACATAATCCGCACACATCTCTCCTTTCCGAAGGTCGTAACGACGCAGGTGTCCATCTACAGATCTGAAGAAGACAAAGATAAGTCACTGAATGTCCTGGCTATGGACCACAGTGGGAATAAGATACAACTGGGACATACAGTATTTACAGCAGTAAATATGTGACCTGCAGAGTCAGACAGACTGGAGGGAGTATAATAGTAATGTGTAGACTGCCCATCTAACCACAGGGTAACAATGACAGAGGGAGCTATGTGATTCAAAGTCTGTCCCTCCGAAATAGACAGAAGGAGCTATGTGACATGAAGTCTGTCCTTTCCACCACGGGGTGACCCTGACAGGAAGTACAGTTAGTCCATATATATTGGGACACAGGCACAATTTTAGTTTTATTCAGGTATTTACCAAAACATCTTCAAGCTATAGTTCTATAATGGATATGGGCTGAAAGTGCACATTCTCAGGTTTCATTTGAGGGTATGTACATCCAAATGGAGGAAGGGTTTAGGAATTACAGCTCTTAAGAGTAGCCATCCCTCCTTTTTCAAGGGACCAAAAGTAATTGGACAATTGAATCAAAAGCTGTTTTATGGCCAGGTGTGGGCTACTCTTTCGTTATTTCTTCATCAATTAAGCAGGTAAAAGGTATGGAGTTGATTCTAAGTGTAGTAAAGTGTGTTCCTAAACCCTTCCTCCAATTTGGACATACATACCCTCAAATTAAACCTGAGAGTGTGCACTTTCAGCCAGGGGCGGACTGACAACTCATGGGGCCCTCAGCCAATAGGGGATCATGGGGCCCCTGTGTCCTTGCCCAAACTCAAAAAATCCTATGAAAAAGGTACCAGGGGAATCTCATGTGGCCCCCTACTGACCCCGGGCCCTCGGGCAGTGCCCGAGTTTCCAAATGGTCAGTCCGATCCTGCTTTCAGCTCATATCCATTATATAACTATAGCTTGAATATGTTTTGGTCAATACGTGAAAAATCTAAAATTGTGCCTGTGTCCAAATATATATGGATCTAACTGTATGAGACAAAATGTCCGTCCCAGTCCCAGGTTGACAAAAAAATACCCACCCTACAAGAATCTCATGATCAGACACTTTGACACTGGATATTCCATCTTTGGCGTCATCCAATATCTGAATGGCCTCTGGCTTGCGAGAGCGACAATCCCAGCATCTAATAGAAGAGTCTATGGAGCCTACAACAACAAAGGTATATATCAGACAAGCATTGTTTCAGGATGGGAAAATAAACATGAGAAATAAAGCAATGTACTAATAGTCAGGATAGGGGACCTCACTGATCAGTATGTAGTGTTCACAAATACCTGATATGATCACTGTAGATTCCTCATTGAATTGCACACAGTTTACCTTCTACAAAAGAACAGTAAAGGGTTAGAGCATCAGGAAAACAAAATATAGAATATTAAAGAAAGGGTGCTAATGATCACCCAGAGGTGGCCATTGTGTAAGCTGAGGGACCAGCCAGAAGGTGGCAATCTGGGAAGGTGTGATTTTTTTGGCACTCCCTAGAGACAGCATATTCCTAGCTGAAGCACTTGCTAAACTGTACTGTGAACATGTGAAGATATAGAAGAAGATACGTGACACAGCCCCTATCTGATCATTTAAATAACTGCCTAATAAACCTCTTCTATCCAAGACAGATTCAATTTGGGCTCCCCACTGTCCCCCAAATCTAGGCACGATGCAACAACTACTATCATTACATAGACACACACACATGATATTTTTTTTCACGGCCAATGATATATATATATTTCCTGGCTTCTCACATCCTCACTAACTCTGTAAACAAGCCCCGATGGGAAGAAACGCATCAGAGGGCGTAGACAGAATGGCGGCTGAGGCCACTCCTCAACATTAGACTCCTGGGGTCCATCCCTTCACTTGTATTGGCTGACACTGGAATGGCTTAGACTCGTGCTCCCCTCTTCTCATTTGCCGGTGGGGTGATCCTTTTCCTTCCATCCACAGCTTGCAGCGGCACCAGAAGGTATACTTTTCACAATGCAACAACTCTGCTGCAAGTTGGAGCTGAGACATGTCCCCACTGCATCTCACATGGGAAATGTCAATGACTTAATGACAGGTCCTGCACTGTTTAAAGTAGAACTATAGGCAAAATTGTTTTTTTTTTTTTTTCCATTTTGGATAGAGCAAAGGAGGGTTATACCCCTGCCGAATTTTTTTTTTCGCCCTCTGTGCCCCATTGGGGAGATTTCCCTTCACTTCCTGTCCCATAACCAAACAGGAAATGAGAGGATATCCCTGCCAATTAGTGGAATTTCTTGGGGACCCCCAGCTCATCAGAACTGTGTCCCCATTGGAAGCTTTCTCCCCTTTTCTGGGGACAAACTAAAATTTTCTTTTACTTTCAATGATAATGGTAAACAGGACAAATAGAGAGGGTGAATCTCCTTAATGGTGACACAGAAAGCAATAAAAACTGACAGTAATCCCTCTCCACTCTATTCAAAACTAAAAAAAAAAAAAAAAAAAGTTTTGCCTTTAGTTACACTTTATCTTAACAAGTTTGTAATCTGCAGACTATAACCCCCCTTGGGGGAGGCAGCAACCAGAAGGTGCCCAGACTACATTCAAACCTGCTTGCTGCATCTTTACCCTAGGTTCACACCTATGACCCTGATAAAGTTGTGGGGAATTAAACCTTTTAGGAGACAGTTACCCCTGGTTCACATCTATGCGGCTGTGCGGGCCGTGGTTTGCACAGGCACTAGAGCCCATTCATTTGAATGGACTCCCGTGCCTGTGACACACAGGGGAAGACGTCCCTGCACCACTTTGGAAAACGCAGCCCCCATGGGAAACTCGGTTCCCAGTACGGTTGCGTTTCCCAGTGTGGACGGCGTGCCATTAGAATTAATGGCACCCGCCTGCGGGTCTCCACAATCTCTCTGTGCGGCTGCACAGATTTTTGTGTGAATCCGCAGCGGCACCAACCACATAGAGGTGAACCGGGGGTTAGTGAGGGTTCCACCAAAGCAGGCCTTTCTTGGGAATGAATGAAAATAAATATAAAAAGAGCCCAAACTATATAGCACAGAAACTTCTCCGTGTGCAAAACTCAATCATAAAAATCTCACACGACCCACAAAATTACCTTCTTCCAGTGACAATGCATCTTCTAGTAAAGCAATATGTATTGGATGTGGTCATATGTGGTATTCATATGCGGTCATATGAAGACATGTACATAATGATCTTACTGATTAGCACTTGCAGGACTGGCGTCCCCAGTTCAAATCCTGGTCAAGGTACTATCTACTTGGCGTTTACATGTTCATCCATGAGTGGGTTTTTCCCCCCACACTCCAAAGACAGGTTGGTAAGATAATTAGTTCCTGTCCAGGGGCGGACTGACAACTCATGGGGCCCCCAGGCAATAGGGGATCATGGGGCCCCTGTGTCCTTGCCCAAACTCAAAAAAGCCTATGAAAAAGGTACCACGGGCATCTCATGGGGCCCCCTACTGACCCTGGGCCCTCGGGCAGTGCCTGAGATTCCAAATGGTCAGTCCGCCCCTGTTCCTGTCCAACTTGGCCCTAGCATGTGTGTGCCTGTATGTATACATGAGATGTAGGAAGCTTAGATTGTAAGCTCCTCGGCTGCAGGGACTGATGTGGACACACAGTATGTAAATGGTCGGCACTAAATAAATAGCTGTAATAACTGAATACTCTATATAGTTCTATACAATGCTTACCCCTGCGTGTCCACGAAACTTCCTGACCACAAGACCTTGTGCCACGTCCCAGAGGATCACGGTTTTGTCTGAACTGCATGAGCACAGCTGACTATTGTCACATGACCTGTAGACGAAACCCACAGTGGTTTAAACCAAATAATACAGTTAGAATGACATCACACAGTACAGTGGTGTAACAAATGGCCCTGAATACGGAAAAGGAACGGATCTCTTTAACCACTTCCCGTCTGGCCCACGTATATAAACGGCCAGACCGGAGTAGTACAGGAGCGGGTTGCCGTTCATAAACGGCGCCCACATTTTCAGCCTGTGCGCACTCCTTGGGAGCACGTGGCACCACGATCCGGTGCCCGCTGTGTCCGAACACCGATCACTGTACGGGACCTCTGTGCGAGGTCCTGATCATGTGATTACTGACTGGCCAATCAGTGGTCACTTAAACAGTAGTAAGCAAGATGTCACTTCTGACATCATTGCTTACTACGTGTGAAATATGTGAATGATCACAATAGCCTTGTACCATGTGACAAGCTGTGACCAATCACAGCTCACACAGTAGTTCTCAATGGCTGCAAGAATGCAACCAGAGAGAAGGAGAAATTATTGTTTTTACAGCCGTTATGGATGTAAAAGCAATCAGTGTAAAAAAAGAAAAGAAAAATCTTCATCACCCCCCCACAAGTAGTACAGTGTCACTATGGGGACAACTTTGAACTACACAGGGTTGTCCCCTGTCTCCAGCCCTTTTTGTGCTAGCGACGAAACCAACCCCTGGCCTTGGCCTTTCAACACTCGGATGGGGTGGTAGGTATTTAGGTGGGGACTATACTAGAAAAGTTGGCATTATATGCTGATGACCTAATGCTTTTTTTAAATGACCCTGGGCCATCGTTCAATGTTGCACTAACTATTCTTGACCATTTTGCTGATCTGACAGGGATGCAAGTAGACTGGGGAAAAATCGCTCATCATGTCCATTGATTAACCACTTCCGGACCGGACACTTTCACCCCCTTCCTGTCCAGGCCAATTTTCAGCTTTCAGCGCTATCACACTTTGAAAGAAAAAAATTGCGCGGTCATGCAACACTGTACCCATATGAATGTTTTAGCATTTTTTGAGACAGATAAAGCTTTATTTTGGTGGTATTTATTCACCACTGGGATTTTTATTTTTTTTGCTATATAAATGAAAAAGTCCAAAAATTTTGAAAAAAAGTGTTTTTCTTAAAAAATTTTGCAAATAAATAAACTTTCTTCATAAATCTTGGCCAAAATTTATTCAGTTATCTTTTTAGTAAAAACAAAAATAACCCAAATTAGTTTATAACCAAAAATGATAATTTTTTTAAACTTTTGTTTACATTTTTATATTATTTATGTTTTTTTTTTTTTTTTTTTTTTTAAAAAAACATACTGTCACCCTAGCAGTACAGTGTCACCATGGTGACACTGTACTACTTGTGGGGGGTTATGAAGATTTTTCTTTTTTTTTTTTACACTGATTGCTTTTACACCCATAAAGGCTGTAAAAGCATTCATTTCTCCTCTCTGGCTGCATTCTTGCAGCCATTGAGAAATACTGTGTGAGCTGTGATTGGTCACAGCTTGTCACATGGTACAAGGCTGTTGTGAATAGCCTACCATGTGACCTCTGTGATCATTCACAGATTTTACACGTAGTAAGCAATGATGTCAGAAGTGACATCTTGCTTACTACTCTGCATGTGATCACTGATCGGGACCTTGCACAGAGGTCCCGTACAACGATCGGTGTTCTACTGATCCTAGGAAGCGCACACAAGCAGGGGGCAGGGAGGCCGTTTATAAATGTAATGCAACGTGCAGAATTTTCGGAGGTGTTTAGAAAGTGGTAAAAACGCTTCCCAAACGCCTGTCTGCCGCTTGCTGACAAGGCTAGTGTGAACGTAGCCTTTCTGAGTCCGGGAGTTGGTTCTTCACATGATGATTTCCTCCTCCTTCCTATGCTGAGCAGCTGCGATGGTTTGGTTCTTAAGGTTTTTACCTGTGTACTATTTAAGTGTTGTCTATTATGTGTGCCGAGTCAGGGAATGCCCTTCGGCTCTGTTTTGTATTTCATTACAAAATACACTGAATAAAAGATTAAAAAAAAAAAAAAAAAAAAGATATGCAAATTTTCTGATTACTAAGGTTTCGGTTTGGTCTTGGGTTCATCAGGTTCCAATCCAGAGAATCTCAACTCTAATTCTAGGAACCCTCAACAGAAAATGCAACTGTGCACATCTCAGGGATTATGGCACCAAAGCCGCTTTTCCTGGGCTGCAAAGCCTTTAATCCCTTGGATCGGCCCTTCTTTCTGTTACCTGGTGCTGGGATCAGAGCTCCCACACAAAACTACAGAACATAAATGGCATTGCAGGGTCTACCAGGAGCTGAATATAAACCAATATGGTCCTTTATAGCTTCCCGGGTAGAAGAAAAAAAAAAAAAGACAATTTCTGTGCAGAATGCAGTGTTTACGAGTGTAGAAGGCCTCACTTATCTTTCTGATTATTTCATAGAAGTATACTGAAGGAAATCTGCTAATCAACTAGCCTGGAGGGGGAATGTGGGAAAAAGAAACTAATGGCCCCCATACAGCCCCTAGTCCCACCCTGTGAATGAACCTCACATCTAGGTATCTGGTGCCATGTAACACAATCTAGCATCCTGGAATACTAATCACATTTACAGAACATGTTAAAATCAGAACCATGCAGGTCAATGGTGAGAAACACACTTACCCTGCTGCATCCAGCACTTCATACCCATGACCGCTGTAGGTTTTCAGCATGGTTCCCTTATGTGGATTCCACAGCTTCAAGGACTTGTCACTACCACATGTCACACAGTAATTCCCATCCACTGAAAAAAATGAGGAATAGAGATATGTGACATGGGGTCTGTCTCTCCCACCACAGTATGATACAGAGGGGAGGAGCTATGTGACATGGGGTCTATCCCTCCAACCACAGGGTGACACCACCCAGGAGGAGCTATGTGACATGGGGTCTATCCCTCCAACCACAGGGTGACACCACCCAGGACGAGCTATGTGACATGGGGTCTATCCCTCCAACCACAGGGTGACACCACCCAGGAGGAGCTATGTGACATGGGGTCTATCCCTACAACCACAGGGTGACACCACCTAGGAGGAGCAATGTGACATGGAGTCTGTCCCTCCCACCACATTATGATACAGAAGGAAGGAGCTATGTGACGTGGGGTCTATCCCTCCAACCACAGGGTGACACAACCCAGGAGGAGCTATGTGACATGGGTTCTGTCCCTCCCACCAAAGAGTGACACAGAGAGGGGGAGCTGTCCCTCCCTCCCTCCATTGGGTGACACCACCCAGGAGGAGCAATGTGACATGGAGTCTGTCTCTCCCACTACAGTATGATACAGAGGGGAGGAGCTATGTGACCTGGGGTCTATCCCTACAACCACAGGGTGACACCACCTAGGAGGAGCTATGTGACATGGGGTCTGTCCCTCTCACCACAGTATGATATAGAGGGGAGGAGCTATGTGACCTGGGGTCTATCCCTACAACCAAAGGGTGACACCACCCAGGAGGAGCTATGTGACATGGAGTCTGTCCCTCCCACCACATTATGATACAGAAGGAAGGAGCTATGTGACCTGGGGTCTATCCCTCCAACCACAGGGTGACACATCCAACAAGGAGGAGCTATATGACATGGGTTCTGTCCCTCCCACCAAATAGTGACACAGAGAGGGGGGTCTGTCCCTCCCTCCATTGGGTGACACCACCCATGAGGAGCTATGTGACATGGATTCTGTCCCTCCCACCAAATAGTGACACAGAGAGGGGGGTCTGTCCCTCCCTCCACGGGATGACACCACCCATGAGGAGCAATGTGACATGGATTCTGTCCCTCCCACCATGGGGTGACACTACAAATGAGGAGCAATGTGCAATGGAGTCTGTCCCTCCCATAATGGCGGGACACACATGTAGATCCTTTATACACAGCCTGTGATGATCATTACTCACCATTGAACCGCACTGCTCTGACAGCTCCCTGGTTGCAGGACAGTTTGCGCTGGAGGTGCTGGGGAAGTTCTGGTTTCTTAGGTTTGGGGGCTGGATAGGCCATGATACCCTGAAATAACAGAAAAAAACTCTATAACCAAACTACAAACCCCCCCCCCCCCCCCACACACACACACACACACACACACACACACACTTACTTATGACTCATTAAGAACATTGAAAGTGGGAGGGGGATTTACGAACCCTGGAGCAGCTGTGCATGGCAACCAAACAGCTTCTGGCTTTTATTTTCGAAGCTTCACAGAACAAGCTGAAAATAGAGGCTGATTGGTTGCCATGCACAGCTGCTCCTGTTCTGATAAAATGGAGACCGCACTGTCCACTGTTAAATCATTCCTGTGAAGATTGGAAGTTCAGGGAAGTAGCACTGAGAGAGCAGGAACCAACAGCATTGAAAGTTGCAAACTGTAAGTGCTAGGGTAAGAATCTGAATAATTAGTTTACTGGGGAAATGTTTATTTTATTGTGTTACAGGTGTTAAGCTAAAAAAAAAAAAGAGAGAATTCACTACTACGCCATCTAATCCTAGGAACACAAATGTATTATGAGGATGAGGTGGCTGCATTTGTTTTCCTTTTTTCACCTTGTTGTCCTGTCCTAGGGTGATGATGCTCACTCACCGCACAGTATCTATGGAGGAGCAGCATTGCTATCCTTGGACAGGACTACAGAACACCTCCCCCTCTCATCTTGTGGCAGGAAGTGAGAATAAATCTAGCCAATGGGGACACAGGCAGCAGGAAATCACCTGCCGGCTGCTCCAACGCTTCATAAAGTTTTTGGCTGGCTTTATAGAAAAGATGGGCCCCCAGCTGTGATGGAGCTACAACTCCCAACATGCCCCAGTAGACTTCATCCAGCATGGCTTTTAGACTTCCACCATGCAAGGCCGCCCCGGTCTCTTTACCGGGACAGCTGCAGGGGACCCGGGTCTCTTTACCGGGACAGCTGCAGGGGCCCCCGGGTCTCTTTACCGGGACAGCTGCAGGGGCCCCCGGGTCTCTTTACCGGGACAGCTGCAGGGGCCCCCGGGTCTCTTTACCGGGACAGCTGCAGGGGCCCCGGGGTCTCTTTACCGGGACAGCTGCAGGGGCCCCCGGGTCTCTTTACCGGGACAGCTGCAGGGGCCCCCGGGTCTCTTTACCGGGACAGCTGCAGGGGCCCCCGGGTCTCTTTACCGGGACAGCTGCAGGGGCCCCCGGGTCTCTTTACCGGGACAGCTGCAGGGGCCCCCGGGTCTCTTTACCGGGACAGCTGCAGAGGCCCCCCCGTTTCTTTACTGGGACAGCTGCAGAGGCCCCCGGGTCTCTTTACCGGGAACGCTGCAGAGGCCCCTAGTCTCTTTACCGGGACTGCTGCAGGTGCACCCTGGTCTCTTTACCAGAACCAATGCAGAAGCCCCAGATCTCTTTACCGGGACAGCTGCAGGGGCCCCCGGGTCTCTTTACCGGGACAGCTGCAGGGGCCCCCGGGTCTCTTTACCGGGACAGCTGCAGGGGCCCCCCCCGTTTCTTTACTGGGACAGCTGCAGGGGCCCCCCCGTTTCTTTACTGGGACAGCTGCAGAGGCCCCCGGTCTCTTTACCGGGAACGCTGCAGTGGCCCCTAGTCTCTTTACCGGGACTGCTGCAGGTGCACCCTGGTCTCTTTACCAGAACCAATGCAGAAGCCCCAGATCTCTTTACCAGGACTGCTGCAGGGGCCCCTGATCACTTTACCAGGACTGCTGCAGGGGCCCCTGATCACTTTACCAGGACTTTGCCAGTATCGCTGTAGGGGCTACCTAATCTCCTTACCTGCCCTGACGGGGGACCTGTAATCTGCAGACACTGAGCTGTAAGGATGATCAGGCAAACCACGTGACCCCCGGTGTACACAAAACCACGTGACGCTCTCTGGCGGTGCTTCCGGGTTTTTCGTCAGGTGACGGTGGTTTCCGGTGACGCCCCCTCTGCTGCCGGAAGTGGTGGGAAGAGCTGTAGGTTTGGATTAGGAGCTGGGAGAGATGACGGGGAACAGCGGCAGTGACCCGAGGAGGCCGGGGAAGGTACAGAGGTGAGAACCGGGGGGACCTGGGGGAGGGGTGTACACAGGACAGCCATGATATGGGGGAGGGGTCACCTCTATTCCTGGTGCTGGGAACTGTCATAGCAGGCCTTCCTGTTACCTCCAGCACAGGAGAAGGTAAGTATGGATGGAGACTTGGAGGTAGAGCCAGGCCCTCATCATTGGGCAGGTGGGGGGAGGGGGAAAGGTGACTGTTCTAAAAGCTCATTCACATAGGCTTTGCTCTTTGAAGAGTGATCCATGTTCTGATCGCTCTTCAGAGAGCATTTGTATCCCCTCCTCACTGCTTGCTATAACCCCCCAGCATTGTGCTGCAACCACCAGCCTTGTCTAGCTGGGTGACCCCATTCACAGGCTGCTGCCTCTGCCGCTATAGGGGAGAGTGGTTGGGGGGGGGGGGGGTGCTAAAAGCATGGCTTAGATGTGAGGGTTTACCACCCCCTCCAACTTCATAGGGCTTGTTTACATTAGCGGCTGGGGGCAGAGAGGGGCAGTAAAAACCATGTGGTCGAGCCATGTTTTTACTACTCAACTGCTCCTTCTGTAGCTGGAAAGGCAGCAGCTGGGGGCAGGAATTCTACCAGACACTACCACCCACCAGATGTAGCGCGCCCTGAACCCTGCACTCTGGACGTAGCGCAATCCTGAACCCCGCACTCTGGACGTAGCGCAATCCTGAACCCTGCACTCTGGACGTAGCGCAATCCTGAACCCTGCACTCTGGACGTAGCGCAATCCTGAACCCTGCACTCTGGACGTAGCGCAATCCTGAACCCTGCACTCTGGACGTAGCGCAATCCTGAACCCTGCACTCTGGACGTAGCGCAATCCTGAACCCTGCACTCTGGACGTAGCGCAATCCTGAACCCTGCACTCTGGACGTAGCGCAATCCTGAACCCTGCACTCTGGACGTAGCGCAATCCTGAACCCTGCACTCTGGACGTAGCGCAATCCTGAACCCTGCACTCTGGACGTAGCGCAATCCTGAACCCTGCACTCTGGACGTAGCGCAATCCTGAACCCTGCACTCTGGACGTAGCGCAATCCTGAACCCTGCACTCTGGACGTAGCGCAATCCTGAACCCTGCACTCTGGACGTAGCGCAATCCTGAACCCTGCACTCTGGACGTAGCGCAATCCTGAACCCTGCACTCTGGACGTAGCGCAATCCTGAACCCCGCACTCTGGACGTAGCGCAATCCTGAACCCCGCACTCTGGACGTAGCGCTCCCTGAACCCCGCACTCTGGACGTAGCGCTCCCTGAACCCCGCACTCTGGACGTAGCGCGCCCCGCACTCTGGACGTAGCGCGCCCCGCACTCTGGACGTAGCGCGCCCCGCACTCTGGACGTAGCGCGCCCCGCACTCTGGACGTAGCGCGCCCCGCACTCTGGACGTAGCGCGCCCCGCACTCTGGACGTAGCGCGCCCCGCACTCTGGACGTAGCGCGCCCCGCACTCTGGACGTAGCGCGCCCCGCACTCTGGACGTAGCGCGCCCCGCACTCTGGACGTATTGCGCGCCCCGAGCCCCGCACTCTGGACGTAGCGCGCCCCGAGCCCCGCACTCTGGACGTAGCGCGCCCCGAGCCCCGCACTCTGTAGGTAGCGCGCCCCGAGCCCCGCACTCTGGACGTAGCGCGCCCCGAGCCCCGCACTCTGTAGGTAGCGCGCCCCGAGCCCCGCACTCTGTACGTAGTGCACTCGCATTGGCTGTCTGATTAGGCCCCACCCAGTGGCATGGAGAAAGTGCAGGGGGAGGCATTTTGGGAAAGTAGACGTTATTGATGGGACCCACGAGCAGGAGCATGCAGAGAGCTAGCAGGGACTTGGGAGCAAGTAGCCTGCAGTACAGGAGAAGTTGGGTGGAGAGAGCCTGCAGCAGAGAGTGCTGTGTACAAACCCAGGTGATACATAAGGAGTGTGCCAGTGTAGCTGTGCAGGGAAAACCAGCTGGAAGCAGCAGCAAAGTGTAGGGACACACAGAGGCACAGCAGCTCTCTGTACACGGCTAGTACACCCCGATTACCAACAGCTCAGCCCTGAATATGAAGAAGAGCCGTTCTGTAAGCAGCCTGACAGACTGACCTCCTTAGAAGCCACACATTGAAGCCCAAGTCCATGTTTACTATTTGGTTCACTAACAGATGTGCCTGCGGGGGGCGCTCTATATACTGTATATACACCACAATTTGTCACATCGTGGTAGGTGTGCTAGTTATTGTTTTCTGGGTACTCAAGGCTGAACCCCCCCAAGGAAAGAACATTTTCTATGGCCCTGAGTTAGGCTATAAGGAGGGGAGAGGGGGAGGTCCCCTTTAATGTTGGAGGAAATATGACAACATCTGTCCTCTGTGACAGGCTAAGAGGAATGAATATTTACAGAAATAGATTATTAATGACTTCCACTAGATTCTGGGTAGAGCGCGTCACACTTCAAGGATAGCTACTTTCCAGGTCGCCCACACAAAGCTCCAACGTCACATTTCGTATGCGTCTTTCAATGCTCTGATTATAGGTGCAGATAGGACGCCTGTTCTGTTTTCAAGGCAGCAGGGATTCACAATCTGCAGACGTTCCCTCCAGGGGTTGAAGTATGAACTTCCTATAGTGATCTCATCTGGATTAAGTGTTACCTTGTTAAACTTCTGCTCAGTTTTTTCCCTTTGTGTTTTTCCATTAACCTCCCTGGCGGTCTGATTATTTCAGATTTTTGGTGCTGAAAGTGGTACCATTATTTTGCATGGAAATATGTAGTTTTTTATTGTAGGCTGTAATTTTTAGGAATAACTCACGGAAATCTGTCCGAACAAGAGTCTAGTAAACATCCCGGGTATGATAAAACTTGAAACACGAAATCATAAATTATAATTTAATAAATAATCATAAAAAATAATATAATAATAATAAATTTAATTCAATAATATAATCAAACCAAAAACACTGAAATTTGAAATATAGCGCCAAGTTCATACATTGCTGAGCAAAGTCGCAAAATCGTTTTCAGTGTCTGATGATGAATTTCCCCCACGAATCATTATCACTCAATTCTGCAAGTGGTTCTGATTTACTATCGCTGTTCTCTAGCCGGTCTAAAACCGCTTTTTGGACGCCATGGACATTTCTCAGTTTCCAGGCAGAAAGAAGAGTAAAAATGCAGGCAGGGCGCCGGACAAAGCACTCGGGACAACTTGTATGTGAAATGGGTTGAAACAGCAATGTTTTACTATGAAAAATTTGTTTTGAAAAAAATGAAATTTTTTAAAATTTTCAAATTTCCCCGCCGGCGGCGGCGCCCGTACATCCCGACTTCCCAGGGACCGGAACACAGAAGCCGGATGCTGGCATCGGCCGGAGGAGATGGCCGGGGACGCTGCAGGGGACACATCGCGGGAGCGAAGGACAAGGTAAGCTCTTCAGGGACTCCCTATGCAGCTCCGCATGGTAAGCCCAAGTGTAGCTCGGGGTTACCGCTTTTGGCACTGACATTTTTACCCCGAGCTACACTCGGGAATACCGCCCAGGGAGGTTAAAGGATAAGTTCACCTTTTGGACAAAAGTCATAAATCCACATTCTTTTGCAAAAAAAAAATGTGCATTTATTATTTTTGTTTAACCCCTTGCCTACTGCGCACTTTCACCCTCTTCCTGTCCAGGCCAATTTTCAGCTTTCAGTGCTCACACTTTGACAATTGCACGGTCATGCAACACTGTACTTCTTTGAAAATGTTATCATTTTTTGAGACAGAGCTTTCTTTTGTTGGTATTTAATCACCTCTGGGGTTTTTTTTTTTATTTTTTGCTAAACAAACCAAAAACAACTGAAAAATGTTTTTTTTTTTCTCAGTTTCTGTTATAAAATTTTGTAAATAAGTAATTTTTCTCCTTCACTGATGTGCGCTAATGAGGCTGCAGTGGTGAGGAGGCACCGGTAGGTGGCACTGATGGGCATTGACAGGCATCACTGATGGGCACTGAAAGGCAGTACTCATATGCGGCACTGATCATCAGTGTACATGTCCCTCTCTGAGGAATGCTGATTACCAGCTCTCCTCTGTCAGTATGACAGCTCGTGAGGAGAGAAATGCTGATAACCAGCATTTCCTTATTTACATGCGATCAGCTGTGATTGGACACAGCTGATCACATGACAGAGCCGATGTCATTGGCTCTTTCCGCTGATTGGCGATCTGCTGTGTCCCAGGGACACAGCGCACTACTGATCGCCGCACTGCGCCCCCGTCGACATGCACGCGCAGTTAGAGTGGGCGGGCGTCATGTGACATCCTCTCAGAATGAGGGAACCGCCGCCCATATCCGGTCTCCCCAGGGTCCTGGGGAGACCGGATATAGTGAATGCAGGGTCCTGGGGAGACCGGATATAGTGAATGCAGGGTCCGGGGGAGACCGGATATAGTGAATGCAGGGTCCTGGGGAGACCGGATATAGTGAATGCAGGGTCCGGGGCAGACCGGATATAGTGAATGCAGGGTCCGGGGCAGACCGGATATAGTGAATGCAGGGTCCGGGGGCAGACCGGATATAGTGAATGCAGGGTCCGGGGCAGACCGGATATAGTGAATGCAGGGTCCGGGGCAGACCGGATATAGTGAATGCAGGGTCCGGGGCAGACCGGATATAGTGAATGCAGGGTCCGGGGCAGACCGGATATAGGGTTTGGTAACACTGTAAATGAGCCGTAGTAAACTGCAAAGATCATTGAATCCTTGTATATTGAGGTTGTGATAATCCTAATCAAAGAATTTATCTGTTTCCCCAGGTATAAACCTCCCACCACAGACAGCTCCCCCACCCTGGATGACCCAACCCCAGACTATATGAACCTCCTGGGCATGATCTTTAGTATGTGTGGCCTGATGCTGAAGGTAAGAAATGAATACAGCAAACATAGGACTTCCTTTTAAAGATTAATTCCAGACATGTTCTATTTTTACATAATTGCATTGATCCAGCTTGGTCCAATGTAACTATGTATATACCATACCTGACCCATGCCCCTGGAAGCTGGAAATCACTGATGTACACCCCACTACACCAGTGATAATGGTGATAATTCAGAGTTTCTGTGAGGTGTCTTGAGGCAAGTATTTATTTTGATGAGTTAAACATTTTTTTCAATCAGATCATCTTTATTAAACTTTTCTTTTCCATTTTCACAAGAAAACATACAAAAACATATACTTCACATTAACCAAACTTTTAGCTCCAGATATCTTAATATTTAAATATTTCATAGTCTGCATTCTATGCATATATATTTATCCACTTACTCAATTGCCCTCTTAAAACCCTATCCCTTCAAATGTCTGGAACTAAATTATATACAACAAATAGATAATAAGTGATTTTCCTATTTAAATACACCCTTTATTTAAGACTCTCTTAAAAACTAAACTGAGAGATTCTCCCAATTTTCCCAAAAATTCCATTTACTTATTAGTTAATTATTCAACTTTCTGAGTGCTCTATATCCTTTAATTCCTATATTATATCTGTGACCACTCCGTGTTTTCCATCCGCTAATTTCCATTTGCTTTAACCACTTGCCAACCACGTTCTAGCCGAATGACAGCTACAGCGCGGTTCTCCAGTCCTGGGAGGGCGTCATATGATGTTCTTCCAGAACGCGCCCTCGGCGATCTCCATGATGATGTGGTAAAAGGCCGATCACAGCGGCCTTTTACCACATGATCAGCTGTGTCCAATCACAGCAGATCATCGGTAAATGAAGTTGTCGGTTATCGGCTGCACTTTCCTTGCGCTGTCACAGCGTGAGAAAAGTACTGCTGATAACCGGCAATTGTCAGAGGAGGGATCGGCACTGATCATCAGGGCACTGATGAACAGTGCCACCCACAAGTGCCCAGCAGTGCCACCCACCTGTGCCCATCAGTGCCTAGTAGTGCCACCCACCTGTGCCCCCAGTCAGTACCCCCGATCAGTGCCCATCATTGTTGCATATCAGTGCCACCTATCAGTGCCCATTAGTGCTGCCTATCAGTGCAGCCTCATCAACGCACATCAGTGAAGGAGAAAAATTACCTGTTTGCAAAATTTTATAATAGAAACAAAGAAACTATTTTTTCAAATTTTTTGCTCTTTTTTTTGTTTTATAGCGCAAAACATAAAACAGTGGCGATTAAACCCCACCAAAAGAATGCTCTCTTTGTGTGAAAAAAATTCTAAAAATGTCATATGGGCACAGTGTTGCATGACCGCACAATTGTCATTCAAAGTGCGACAGCGCTGAAAATTGGCCTGGGCAGGAAGGGGGTATAAGTGCCCGGTAGGCAAGTGGTTAATCCCTCAACTACTAGTGTACTGCCCTCAATATTATCTACCACAAGAAAAAAAAAGAAGCCTTATGTGCTTCACAACCTGTCCCTAATTGTACAAGAATTAATCCCGGTATTGCCAGCCAGTTACTCCACATTTTTGTAAATGTATCTGGGCAACCCCTATGCTGATGAACCATGTATTGTCTTTATAAGACTTCATTAACTGTTTTTTTTACCCAAAGAGAGCGAGTTGGGGGAGCTGTGGAGATCCATTCCTGCGCTATCAATTTTTTTGCTATAAGTAGATGAATGATCGCCATGGAAGTCAGGGGAGTATATAGTTCTGTATCCAGCCACCCCAATACACATATCTTGGGTTCCATAGGAATGTTAACTCTAAAACTCATTATTAATAGTGTCCAGTACACAAGCCCAGTATCTAACCAACTTAGGATCTCCACATCATATGTAGCGTCCCAATATCTCTGTCAAATCGTGGACATAGGGGGGTATCCCTCTTATGCCACTTAAAAAGTTTCTGGGGGGTTGTAATATGTGCGATGTAGAACGAACAATTGGGTAAGTCTCTGAGACGCAGAAAGGGATACCTGTTCTACATTATAAATAATATCAGACCACTCCTCATTATTCAGTAGGCCGATATCCATTTACCGATACGATCTACACCTCAGAAAATCTGATTTTGACCTTCTTTGCAACAATGCACTCCAGGACTTCTCCGGAGCCTCTCCCATCCTCTGGAACTCTCTACCACAGTATGTCTGGTCAGCCCTCACCCTGTCTACCTTTAGACGATCTTTGAAAACTCACTTATTCAGGGAAGCCTACCCCACCTCCACCTAAGAACTGTACTTGAATCACCTCCACCAGATCATCCCCCGCAGCTATCACCTTTTGTATCACCTCCCCCTTCTTTTAGACTGTAAGCTCCACGAGCCGGGCCCTCCTATTCCTTCTGTACTGAAATGTATTGTAATTGTATTGTCTCCCGTTATATTGTAAAGAGCTGCGCAAACTGTAGGCGCGTTATAAATTCTGTATAATAATAATAAATAATAAAAAAAGCCTGGTTACCTGTCCCCTCTTAGATGTCGCTGCTAGACTTTGGTTAATAATTGTGGGTGTTACTTAGACCCAAGGCATCTGTCTAGCCTGAGTGTGAATAGCATGCCTGAGTTGCAAGTATTGGAAAAAATGTTTGGTAGGCAGACCAAAATTCTCCTGCAAGGTCTGAAAATCTTTCAGATGTTGACCCTGATAAAGTTGTGGGGAATTAAACCTTTTAGGAGACAGTTACCCCCGGTTCACATCTATGCGGCCGTACGGGCCGTGTTTTGCATGAGCACGAGAGCCCATTCATTTGAATGGACTCCCATGCCCGTGACACGCAGGGAAAGAAGTCCCTGCACTTCTTTGGAAAATGCAGCCCGCACGGGAACCTCGGTTCCCAGTACGGTTGCATTTTCCGGTGCGGGCGGCGTGCCATTAGAACTAATGGCACCTGCCTGCGGGTCCGCAATTCTTTGTGCCGGTGGTGCGGCTGCACGGATTTTCGTGTGGATCCGCAGCGGCACCACCCGCACAGATGTGAACCTAGGGCTATGGAATCGGAAATGTTAGTTGCTTGGCTGTCATTCTGACCCTCTGAACTCAATAAATTGAGTTACTGGCCTAGAACAAGTATACAGATGAGGTCCTGTGACTTCTTTGATCTTCCTCATCTGCATATGTATTCCAGGTCAGTCACTCAGTGTATAGAGGCCAAGCAAGTGTTTTTTCTGAGGTCAGCTATGGCACCCTCTAAATATCTTAGAAATAAATCTAGAAATAATAAAACTATAATTACGGTATAAACTAACACTAATACCCTTTCACATAAAAGATCAAACTTTCACAATTGAAAGTGCAAATCAACACAAAATTCCAATATGTAAATAAATAACCCTAAGCATATATATACACATATAATGAACCCAAATCATCTAAAATGTATATCAAAAAAATCAAAAATATATACAATCCAAAATGAAAAAATGGAAGTCATTTGTATCCAAAAATCATATAAATAAAGTCACTCCAAAAAACTTTGTGTCCAAAATTATACAACTTATCGGATCCTTTGGTGCTGAGCCCCTCCAATGGCTCCCAAAAGGACAGAATGTACCTCAACAGAAAGAAAACTAATTAATTTATTAAGTTAATGCACTATCTGAGTTTTCTTTCTTTTGAGGTACATTCTGTCCTTTTGGGAGCCATTGGAGGGGCTCGGCACCAAAGGATCCGATAAGTTGTATAACTTTGGACACACAGTTTTTTGGAGTGACTTTATTTACACGATTTTTGGATACAAATGACTTCCATTTTTTCATTTTGGATTGTATATATTTTTGATTTTTTGATATACATTTTAGATGATTTGGGTTCATTATAGGTGTATATATATGCTTAGGGTTATTTATTTACATATTGGATTTTTGTGTAAATCTAGAAATAAGGACTATGCCACTGCTGATTAATTTTTGCAGATGCAAGGTTCAGGACTGTAATCCTTTGATTGTTTTAAGAGACCCCAGTATCACTGTCTGCATGCTTGCATGAGATCAATGGTTCAGTACATTTTCCCAGCAGGTGTAGAATGACTACCTTAGGGCTCTGTCTTTTAAAAAAGTCCGCTCCCATATTTTTCCCTGATTGGTTTATTTTTGGATGAAATGAACTTGTGATATGCAGAATTCAGTGTTGCTCATTTATCAATTATTATTCAATCCAGGTACTTCTATAGCGTCGTCAATTTATGCAGTGCTTTACATATATATTGTACATTCACATCAGTCCCTAACCCTCAAGGGGCGTACAATCTAAGGTCCCTAACTCACATTCATACATACACATACTAGGGACAATTTAGACAGGAGCCAATTAACCTACCAGCATGTCTTTGGAGCGTGGGAGGAAACCAGAATACCCAGAGGAAACCCACGCAGGCACAGGGAGAACATGCAAACTCCAGGCAGGAGGTGCCGTGGTTGGGATTCAAACCAACGACCCTAGTACTGCCAGGCAGAAGTGCTAACCATTTAGCCACTGTGCTGCCCAATATACGGTGCTGTAGTTCTTTCTCTATGCATGTTGATATTCCATAATTTATTGTCATTTTCTTTGTTACAGTTGAAGTGGTGTGCGTGGATTGCCGTATATTGCTCCTTTATCAGCTTTGCAAACTCTCGCAGCTCCGAAGACACCAAGCAAATGATGAGCAGCTTTATGTAAGTTGTCCAGATGCTGCACCTGCAGGGTGATCCCAGTCTGTCTCTATGATCATGATGACGATGTGTATCGAGGGGTTCTCTTCCTCGAAACTTCCATATGGAAAATCAGGGAGCAGTTATGATGGAAAGGGGGTGTCTTGTACATCTTCTGGTTGACTGTTTGGGGAACGGGTAGACCGTTCAGAGTTCCTTGGCCTTTCCTGGCATTATGATGCTTCAGCCTTGGAAAGCTGCTGAAGATAAAGGATACCCACAGGGAGAAGAATACAAGGGCTGCTGTTTGATCTCTTTTTCAAGGATGCTAGTTTCCTGAATGTCTCCAACATCTATACTGTGTCCCAATAAGAAAGGACTCCTGATTTGCCTATTTGTTCAAGGACTGTAACTTGCATTGAAGCCTTTAGGTCTGCATGGCAGGCAGGCAACTAGCATTTTAAAAGAGAGGTCAGCAAACATTTATTTATTTCAGGTACTTATATAACGCCGTCAATTTACGCAGCACTTTACATATATATTGTACATTCACAACAGTCCCTAACCCTCAAGGGGCGTACAATCTAAGGTCATAGCAAGGCTTCTAGGCCACTGCCAGGGGCCCTTGGTTGATGGGGGAGCTACTGTGGCACTTTAGCACACACAGCCACCAACACTCCCTGATATGTTAGAGGGGATTAAAAATAAAGAAAATCTGATTCCTATACACTGTGTGCAGAATAAAGACATCAAGAAATCATATTTTCCCCTGCTGTGTTTAGCATCATGTGCACAGGGTGACAACATGGTCTCTTTAGGCCATTTGTGAGCAGACTAGTTAACCACTTCCAGTCCGGACACTTTTTCCTGTCCAGGACAATTTTCAGCTTTCAGCGCTGTCGCACTTTGAATGACAATTGCACAGTCATGCAACACTGTACCCATATGAATTTTTTAGCATTTTTTTGAGACAGATAAAGCTTTATTTTAGTGGTATTTATTCACCACTGGGATTTTTATTTTTTTTGCTATGTAAATGAAAACGTCAATTTTAAAAAAAAATGTTTTTCTTGTAAAATTTTGCAAATAAATAATATTTCATCATAAATCTTGGCCAAAATTTCTTCCGTTTATCTTTTTTTAGTAGAAAAAAAAATTAACCCAAATTAGTTTATAACCAAAAATTATACTTTTTAAACATTTTTTTTTACATTATTATTTTATTTTTTTATATCATTATTTTTGGGTTTTATTTTTGTTTTTTTTTTGTTTTTTTTACATACTGTCACCCTAGCATCCTGCGGGGATGGTCGGCTTTCTTTACAACTTACCCTTTCGTGGAGTGGGTCTGGTGTCACCCCGTATAGGTTGCATGCTGGTGATCCCCGAAGGATGGATCGGATCTGCGGATTGGGGTGCATAATGGATCGGACTCTGATCCATCATGCTCTATCCGCAGATCCGATCCATCCTGCGGTGATCGTCGGAAGGGGTGTTACCATGTGACTGGCTGACACCAACCCTAGGGATGCCCCTGTGTGTATAGATGCTTTGGCCAAAATGTATTCCGTTCTCTTTTTAGTAAAAAAAAAAATTAACCCAAATTAGTTTATAACCAAAAATTATACTTTTTAAACATTTTTTTTTTTTACATTTTTATTTTTTTATATCATTATTTATGGGTTTTATTTTTGTTTTGCTTTTTTTGTTTTTCTACATACTGTCACCCTAGCATCTTGTGGGGATCGTCGGCTTTCTTTACAACTTACCTTTTCGTGGAGTGGGTCCGTATAGGTTGCATGCTGAGGATCCCCGAATTATGGATCAGATCTGCGGATTGGGGTGCATAATGGATTGGACTCTGATCCATTATGCTCAATCCGCAGATCCGATCCATCCTGCTGGGGGTCGTCGGAAGGGGTGTCACCATGTGACCGGCTGACACCAACCCTAGGGATGCACCTGTGTATATAGATGCTTAGGCTTTTAAGCTCCAGTCCTGGATCATTACCGGATAGGACCATATAGCATATAGGCATTTTACATTGAACACACTCCCATAAGGGTTTGCACAAGAAATGCAAATAACAATTTCAAGAGACATTCATTTCTGTGTCTGTGATTCTCAATTTGCTAAATGCATGGAGGCACCTTGACCAAGCTTTATGGGTTTGTCGCCTTGCTAGTAGTGAGAAGCGTTTGTGTGCCTCCTCCGACTCATGAAGCTTACATTCTAATCTCTCTGCTTTTCACTACACTTACTGCTTTAACCTCCCTGGCGGTCTGATTATTTCAGATTTTTTTGTGCTGAAAGCGGTACCATTATTTTGCATGGAAATAAGTAGTTTTTTTTTATTGTAGGCCTGTAATATTTAGGAATAACTCACTGAAATCTGTCCGAACAAGAGTCTATTAAACATCCCGGGTATGATAAAATTTGAAACACGAAATCATAAATTATAATTTAATAAATAATCATAAAAAATAATATAATAATAATAAATTTAATTCAATAATATAATCAAACCGAAAACACTGAAATGTGAAATAGAGCGCCAAGTTCGCACATCACTGAGCAAAGTCGCAAAATCGTTTTCAGTGTCTGATGAGGAATTTCCCCCACGAATCATTATCACTCAATTCTGCAAGTGGTTCTGATTTACTATCGCTGTTCTCTAGCCGGTCTAAAACCGCTTTTGACCTAAAGGGACACTTTGTACGCCATGGACGTTTCTCAGTTTCCAGGCAGAAAGAACAGTAAAAATGCAGGCAGGGCGCAGGACAAAGCACTCGGGACAATATGTATGTGAAATGGGTTGAAACAGCAATGTTTTACTATGAAAAATGTGTTTTGAAAAAAATGACTTTTTTTTTTTAAATTTTCAAATTTCCCGCCGCCTCCGGCGCCCGTACGTCCCGACGTCACAGGGACCGGAACACAGGAGCCGGATGCCGGCATCGGCCGGAGGAGATGGCCGGGGATGCTGCAGGGGACACATCGTGGGAGCGAAGGACAAGGTAAGTGCTGCAGGGACTCCCTATGCAGCGCCGCATGGTAAGCCCGAGTGTAGCTCGGGGTTACCGCTTTTGGCACTGACATTTTACCCCGAGCTACACTCAGGAATACCACTAGGGAGGTTAAGAGCATGCAAAAGGTTTCTGTTTTTCTTGCAACTCACCATTGCTGGTTGCAAGTGGTAGAGACACCAGTCCACTTCCACTGTTATGCACAATGAATGCAACGCCACCTCTGCTTCTCAATGTAGGTAGTTATTTCAATAGAACGCTGTACTAATGAGGTACATCAGGCAACAGGTTTGGTCATCCCCAGCCTTTTTTCAATTCCACAGATATCTACATACTTTAGGTGATGCGCTGTTTGAATATACTTTGCATATGTTTTTTAAAAGTTTTAACCTTAAACCTCTTATTGCATTCTTGCAGGTTGTCCATCTCAGCAGTGGTCATGTCCTACCTACAGAACCCGCAGCCCATGTCTCCTCCGTGGTAACACCGGCCTTGTCCAGCTCAGGAGAAGTTGGTTCCTGCGGACCATGGAATTTTACAGAGACTCCTATTTCCCATTTCATCTCCTGTGCCTGGCAACTGTATGACTAAATAAAGATGGTTGATTTTTAATTTTTTTTTTTTTAATAATTTTTTTTTTGGTCTGTGATGTAACTCCAGTCTCATGTATGTAAGTGTTGGGTCACCTGACTTTTGGTTGACAGGACTGTGGCTACTCTAACAAAGTGTTTATATGAGGCATGGGTATCACTGTGGGGCTCCTATTTTTCAACTCCTGGCTGCTGTATCAGAACAAAGCTTTTAAACAAGGTATATAGGTATATAAACCTGTATATAGGGTTGCTAAGGACCAAACACACTCGCCCCCAGAGCCTCTGCTTTTTGACAGCGTAAGGTTTCCTTCCCCCCACAGTTACATTTAAAATTGTTGCCCGTCCGCACGACCACATCATTCATTTACAGCAGTGGTTCTCAACCTGTGGGTCGCGACCCCTTTGGGGGTCCAACGACCCTTTCACAGGGGTCGCCTAAGACCATCAGAAAACACATATTTCCGATGTGTAAGGAGCAGCTGCTGTGTTGAAAGCAGCTACTCTGTTAAAAGCGGCTACTGTGTTGAAAGCAGCAGTATTAGAGGTAAAACGACACTCGTGAATTATAATTACTGGGTAAATAATTTTATGGTTGGGGGTCACCACAACATGAGGAACTGTATTAAAGGGTCACGGCATTAGGAAGGTTGAGAACCACTTATTTACAGGGACCTGTGAGTGGATAAACCAGATGTCCTGTCTGCCACCGCAGCAGATAACTTGTAGTTCTCAAATGGACTACAAGTGCGCTGATCAGCTCAATTGTAGTTCATTAAATCTTTCTCTAGCTTTCTAACTGAAAATCTGTACCGAGGCACAGGCAGAAAGCTGGAGGAAATGTGTGCAGGAGCCTGACATTGCACCCATGATTCACTGATCGTGGGTGCAATACTCTGCAGACTCCTGTATAAAAAATAAATAAATTCACATTATTTTATGTGCATTTATTATTTTTTTACTTTAAAGGTGAATTTATAAAGCAGCGAATCTCACATTCACCAAACTGCAGGTGAATGTTCCTAGTCCATGTGTTGTAAATGAGTGACTGATTCACCACCAGTGAATGTTTTGTGAAAGTCACATTTACTACTCATGTTTCCTGTATTCAAAGATACCCTTTAGTTTGTCAGGTTTGAAAATCATAGCTGGCTGTAAAATTAAATGGGTATTTTTATTAACAATAAATTGCAAAATGTAATACAGCTCTTAACTGACTGGAAACAGATATTTATTTATTTCACGTACTTGTATAACGCCGTCAATTTACGCAGCACTTTACATATATATTGTACATTCACACCAGTCCCTAACCCTCAAGGGGCGTACAATCTGAGGTCCATAACATACATTCATACATACATATACTAGGGACAATTTAGACAGGATCCAATTAACCTACCAGCATGTCTTTGGAGTGTGGGAGGAAACTGGAGTACCCAGAGGAAACCCACGCAGACACATTAAATATAGTCAATGTTGACTGAGCGAGTGAAGTTCCACTTTAACTGCTTGCTGACCGCATCACTTAGTTGTACGGTGGCAAAGTGGCTCTCCTGCGCTGGATCACATATCTAGTACGTGATCCGGCTCTTCCGGGTAGGGGGCACGCCTGCTGCCCCGAGTGTGCCATGAATAAACACAGCACAAGCTGATCAGCAGGTCCCTGCCAATGATTGATGGCCAGGACCCATTGATCAGCGAAGCAGAGCTCTGTGTATGCAAGCAACACGATGCTATACCTTGACAGCTGGAATGAGCTGCTTATTTCCCCTGTAAATTGGGGAATAAAAACCAGCTCATCCCTTAGTAAAAGCAGCACATAGTACAGTTGCAAGAAAAAGTATGTGAACCCCTTGGGATTACGTGGAGTTTTGCATGAATTGGGCATAAAATGTGCTCTGAATGTCATCTAAGTCACAACAATAGAAGAACACAGTCTGCTGAACATAATACTACACAAACATTGGATGTTGCCATGGTTTAATTGCACATAACATGTAAACATTCACAGTGCAGGGAGGAAAAAGTATGTGAACCTTTGGACTTAATAACTGGTTGACCCTCCTTTGGCAGCAATAACCTCAACCAAACATTTCCTGTAGTTGCAGATCAGACCTGCACAACGATCTGGAGTCATTTTGGACCACTCCTCTTCACAAAACTGTTTCAGTGTAGCAATATTCTTGGGATGTCTGGTGTGAATCGCTCTCTTAAGGTCATGCCACAGCATTTCAATCAGGTTGAAGTCAGGACTCTGACTGGGCCACTTCAGAAGGCGTATTCTGTGCTGTTGCAGCCATTGTTTTGTTGAATTACTTGTATGCTTTGGGTCATTGTCCTGTTGCATCACCCATCCTCTGCGGAGCTTCAGTTGGCGGACAGATGGTCGTACGTTTTCCTGCAAAATGTCTTGATAAACTCTGGAATTCATTTTCCCATCAATGACAACAATCCGTCCAGGCCCTGAGGCAGCAAAGCAGCCCCAAACCATGATGCTCCCTCTGCCATGTTTTACAGTGGGGATGAGGTTTTGATGTTGGTGTGCTGTGCCTTTTTTTCTCCTGTCCACAGTATATTTTGCCAGTAGTGCTGTGGAACATCCAGGTGCTCTTTTGCAAACTTCAAACGTGCTGCAATATTCTTTTTGGACAGCAATGGCTTCCTTTGTGGTGTCCTCCCATGTACTCCATTCTTGTTTAATGTTTTCCTTATTGTAGATGTGTCAACAAAAATGTTAGCATGTTCCAGAGATTTCTGTAGGTCTTTAGCTGACACTCTGGGATTCTTCTTTACCTCATGCAGCATTCTGCGCTGTGCTCTTGCAGTCATTTTTACAGGACGACCGCGCCTAGGGAGAGTAGCAACAGTGCTAAACTTTCTCCATTTGTAGACAGTCTGTCTTACCGCGGACACATGAACATCAAGGCTTTTGGAGATACTTTTGTAACCCTTTCCAGCTTCATGCAAGTCAACAATTCTTGATCGTAGGTCTTCTGAGAGCTCTTTTCTGCGAGGCATGGTTCACATCAGACAGTGCTTCTTGAAACCAGTAAACTCAAAACAGGTGTGTGTTTTTTTAAGGGCAGGACAGCTGTCAGCAACACATCCAATATCATCACACTGATTGGAGTCAAGGTTGGCTCACTCATGGCTCCAATTAGCTCTGGGAGAAGTCATTAAGCTAGGGCCTCACATACTTTTGTCTCCCTGCACTGTGATTGTTTACATGTTATGTGCAATTAAACCATGGCAACATCTAATGTTTGTGTAGTATTATGTTCAGCAGACTGTGTTCTTCTATTGTTGTGACTTAGATGATGTTCAGAGCACATTTTATGCCCAAGTCATGCAAAACTCCACGTAATCCCAAGGGGTTCACATACTTTTTCTTGCAACTGTACACATACAGTTCACTGTTAGGAACATAGGTAACCCTTTGATTGCCCCTGGATGTTAACCCTTTCCCAGCCAATATCATTAGTACAGTGTTATTAGCATTGATCACTGTATTATTGTCACTGGTTTCCACAAAGTCAGTTAGTGTCAGAATGACTGTTGCACTATCACCGTCACACTATAAGTTGCTGACCTCCACCTTTACTAGTATAAAACAAAAAAAAAATTCCAGTATATATACACCATAGATAATAGATGCTATAACTTTTGGGAAAACCAATCCCTATAAATTTATTGGGATTTTTTTTTTTTACCAAAAATAAGTAGCAGAATACATTTTGGCCTAAATTTATGAAGAAATTTTATTAAAAAAAAAATGTATTGGTTATGTCAGAACTGTAGTTCTGAAAAAAAAAATCAGTATATAATTTATGAAAACAGGAAGGGTTCTGGAATTAAGAGGTTCCCTACTAATTTTCATAAATCAACTGATAACTCGAGTTCTTTATTTGCATTAATTTGAAGACGAAATAAAAAACAATAATATGCAAATATATATATATTAATAAAAATCAGTGCAAAATGGTACTCAAAATATAATTGGTGATAAGTTCAGGCCTTACAGTTTAATTCTGCGAGCACAGAATAGTTCTGACATATTTGTTTTATAAAAAATCTTTACAATTCCGCGCTATGGTATATAAAAATATTAGAATTAAAAAAATGAAAGAAATAATTCAATCCACATGAGCAGCCACAATATTGCAGGTAACAACACACATAAAATAATATACAAAGGTGCGGCGCTTCAAAACATTTTTTAACCTAAAAGTCCATGCCACAAAAATGAAGATATATAGAATAAGCCCCTCTTCACTGGAACCTCAGTGCTGATATAGATGGGCAGGAGAAGATAGAAAAAGGTCCACCATCACCAAACACTCTGCCTCTTAGCAGGTCATGTTGACCCCCAGTTATGGATGGGTCAAAAAACACTGTATAAATTCAAAAAAGGCAAGCCGCAGACCCGGACGTTCTTTGGTTCCAAACTTTCACATCAGAAGGTGGGCTAGAAGATGAACCTACAAAGGAATTATCCTCATAGAGGAGAACCCCATTAAGTGCTGCGTCCTGATGCTGACCATGCCCCTGTTGTCAATGACGAAAAGCGTAGGGAGAAGCCAGAGCGTGTGACCATCTTGTTGGTTAGAAACTTACCATTCATTATATGGTGACATGCTGTTTTATATTCTTGATTGATGTATGTTTATTACTATGCTTTGAGGCAATACATTTAAACCATCTTACTACACTATGAGGATTCTTTTTGCAATTTGAATGGGGTTGTCCTCTATGAGGATAATTCCTTTGTAGGTTCATCTTCTAGCCCATCTTCTTATGTGAAAGTCGGGTCTGCGGCTTGCCTTTAGGAATTTATACAACATGATCTGGTAAGAGGCAGAGTGGTGATGGTGGACCTTTTTCTATCCTCTCCTGGCCGTTTTGAGACATCTATAGCAGCACTGAGTTTCAAGTGAAGAGGGGCTTATTCTATATATCTTCATTTTTGTGGAGTGGACTTTTAAGTTAAAATATGTTTGGAAGCGCCGCACTTTTGTATATTAGATTCGTTTTATAGCAGAATGTAAAAAAATTATTTTTTCTAAATTTTTGTTCATTTTTTGTTACATATATATATATATATATATACATACAATAAAAGTGGTGATCAAATACCAAAAGAAAGCTCTATTTGTGTGAAAAAAATGATATAGATTCCATGCGGGTGGTGTTGCATGACTGCGCAATTACCAGTCAACCACCTCCCACCCGCCATATAGTCCAATGACGGGCGCAAGGTGGTTCTCTTGTTCTGGGAGGACGTCATATGACGTCCTCCCATTCTCGCCACACATGCGCAGCTCAGGGAGTGCGCAGCGCGGGGTTCGGTGGTGCGCCGTGTCCCTCGGACACAGCGGATCACCGATCATGGAAGGAGCCGAAGATGTCGGCTCGGTCATGTGATCAGCTGTCACGCTGACAGCTCGAGAGGAGAGCCGGTAATTGGCATTCTGCTGAGGGGACATGTACACTGATCATCAGGGCACTGATGATCAGTGTTCCCTGATGATCAGTGTAGCCCCAGCAGTGCCTTGTGTCGGTGTCCATCAGTACCTCGTGCCAGTGCCCATCAGTGCCACATCAATGCCACGTATCAGTGCCTACCAGTCCACATCAATGCCACATATCAGTGTCCATCTGAGCTGCCTTTCAGTGTCACCCATTAGTGCTAGTCATTGCCACCTATCAGTGCTGGCAATCAGTGCCCATCAGTGCTGCCTATCAGTGCCCACCACTGCAGCCTCATTAGCGCATATCAGTGAAGGAGAAAAATCACTTATTTACAAAATTTTATAACAAAAACTAAGAAATTTTTTTTTTCTAAAATTTTCAGCGGTTTTTGGTTTGTTTGTTTAAGAAAAAATTAAAAACCCAGAGGTGATTAAAAACCACTGAAATAAAGCTCTGTCACAAAAAAATAAAATTTTCATATGGGTACAGTGTTGCATGACCGCACAATTGTCGTTCAAAATGTGACAGCGCTGAAAGCTGAAAATTGGCCTGGACAGGAAGGTGGTATAAGTGCCCGGTAGACAAGGGGTTAAAGTAACAGGTACTCAAGTGGTTAAAATTCAGGTAGTAAACCAATTAGTTCACTTGAAATGGACAAAACTAAATAACAAAGAAGGGTGGCATGATCCCAGGATTGTTAAAGTTTAACTAAAGGACAAGCTTTTTTTTTTTTTTATATATAGTTTTGGATAGAGTGGAGAGGGATTAGAACCCCTGTCAGTTTTAATTGCTGTCTGTGACCCTTATCTGGGAGAATCACCCTCCTTGTTTACTGTTATCATTGAAAATGAAAGTGAAAGAAAATATAAAATTTTTCGGTTGTCACCAGAACAGAAATGGAGGGGAAATCTTCCTATGGGAACACTAGTTCTGGTGGCAACCACTCACGTTTGAGGGCTTTGCTTTCACTTCCTGTTTTGGCTATAGTGAAATGAACGCTCCCCAATGGGACACAGTTGGCCAAAAATAAAAAAGGATGCGGACACTAGCTCCGATGACCTGGGGGTCCCCTAGGGATTCGTTTAAACCGCTTGTCTGCCGCCTTATAGCAGAAGTACTGCTACATGGCGGCAGGGCTGTGCAAAAATCACACACCTTATTACTTTATATATGTATATATATATATCAGGGGCGGACTGACAACTCATGGGGCCCCTGGGCAATAGGGGATCATGGGGCCCCTGTGTCCTTGCCCAAACTCAAAAAAGCCTATGAAAAAGGTACCAGGGGCATCTCATGGGGCCCCCTACTGACCCGGGGCCCTCGGGCAGTGCCTGAGTTTCCAAATGGTCAGTCCGCCCCTGATATATATATATATGATTTGCATTTCCGGGTATGTGCGTGCTGCCCTACTGGCAGCTAGGGATGTCAATCACTGGGTCCCGGCCAGCACTTAGCGATCATCATGGAAAGCTGACAGGGGAGAGATCTGTGTGTAAACAACTCAGGTCTCTCTCCTGTCAGCATGACATGTTGCTGTGTATTTCTCTGCACAGCATGCCTCCCTATTAAAACACAGCACCCAATTAACCCTTTGATCGCCCCTCATGTTAACCCCTTCCTGCCCAGTGCCATTAGTACAGTGTCAGGGCTTTTTATTAGCACTGATCACTGTATCGGTGTCACTGGGCACTGGGGATGTCAGTGACACCAAGTCAGTCCCCCCCCCAGTGTCAGAATGCCCGCCGCAGTCCCGCTATAAGTTGCTGATCACCGCCATTACTAGTAAAAAAAAAAGAAGCCCAGTATCTATACCGCCATTTGTAGACTCTATAACTTTCACGTAAACCAATTCATTTACACGTACTGGGATTTTCTTTTAGCAAAGACACGGAGCAGAATACATTTTGGCCGAAATTTATGACGAAATTAATTTTTTTACATTTTTTTTACTGGACATGTTTAATAGCAAAAAGTCAAAAATATAATTTTTTTTTTCAAAATTGTCATATTTTGTTTATAGCGCAAAAAATAAAAAAAAACGCACCAGCGATCAAATACCACCGAAAGAAAGCTCTATTTGTGGGGAAAAAAAAAAAAGGCCGTAACTTTTAGTGTTGCATGACCGCGCAATTGTTAAAGTAATGCAGCGTCGTATGCAGGGGCGGACTGACAACTCATGGGCCCCCTGGGGAATTGGGGATCATAGGGCCCCTGTGTCTTTCCCACACTCAAAACACCCAAAAAAGCCTATAAAAGGTACCAGGGGCATATTATGGGGCCCCCTTCTGACCCCGGGCCCTCGGGCAGTGCCCGAATGGTCAGTCCACCCCTGGGTGTATTGCAAAAAATGGCCTGGTCAGGAAGGGGGGGAATCCATTTGGAAACTCTGGCACTGCCTGAGGGCCCAGGGTCAGTAGGGGGGCCCCATGAGATGCCCCTGGTACCTTTTTCATAGGCTTTTTTGAGTTTGGGCAAGGACACAGGGGCCCCATGATCCCCTATTGCTCGGGGGCCCCATGATCCCCTATTGCCCGGGGGCCCCATGGGTTGTCAGTCCGCCCCTGCTGCCATGCACAGGTGTACCAGATCCTGCACTCCCCAGTGTCACTGAGTCTCCCTCCAGATGCAGAAGCTGCACCCTCCTCCCTGGCTGCACTGGTACCGCTCTATGTTGGGTCACCAAAAGATGTTTCCCACAATGACAATGTTACATTTTCTCCGACACCAAAACTGGACAGTTCCTCCTCCCCGCCTCCACACAAGGGGCGGTCTCTGCGGCTACCTCCGCCCCCTCTCTATACACAGCGTGATACCGCCGCCCCCTGCTGGCAGAACGGCTCAGCTGTTTTGTAGTGGCACGGTCATGTGACCAAGCTATGCTCGCCCGGTGATTGGCTACTGAGCCGGGGAGAGGCTGGCAGGTCATGTGATTCGGTCTACATCCCCAGCAGTGGGCAGAGTGCGGATCAGATCCCAGCAAGCGGGGATGGAGAGGTCCCGGGGGATGTGTTTGCTGCTGCTACTGCTGGCCGGTGTAGCTGCCACCTGGGGCTGCGGGGAGGAGGTGAGTGCCCGGGGGAGGGCAGCGCTCCCCATTCACTCTATATTGTGTGCTATGGAGGAGGAGGAGGCACAGAGAGCCGGGTGACGGGGGGTACACCGTGATCACTGGGGGGTATACTGTATATAGAGGGAGGGATCCACCCATTCAGAGATCATTGTGTCCCCCCCCCCCCCCCCTTGGATCTCTGACACCCCCCCCCCCCCATACAGATTATTAATATCATTGTATGACTTAACTATATATAGTGGGAAGAAAAAGTGTGTGAACCCTGAGACTGGACGGGTCCTCTACAGCAATCATCTGACCCGCATGTGACTCCCAGCCATAGACAACCACAGAGAACACACAAACCATTCTCATCTCCCATGTCTTCATTGAACAGCCAATAATCACTCACAGTGCTGGAGGAAAAAGTATGTGAACCCCTAGACTAGTTACTGCAATGAAACCTAATTGGAGCCAGTGGTATAACTTTGGATGAAGTAAGTAGTCTATGGGTTCACTTACTTTTTCCCTCCAGTACCGTGAGGCACACTCCCAGCCAGGGTTCACATACTTTTTCTTGCCACTGTATATTCTGTCACTGCATTCACTCTCTTGTTATTCTTTTCTTTCATTCCTTTCTTTTCTTTAGTTTTTTTTTTCTCCTTTTTATTTTTTTCCCCCCTCTTTTTCTCTCTCGCTCTGTCCTTCTTTTTTTTTTTTTTTTTTTTTTTTTTTTCTCTTTTCTCTTTTTTCTCCTTTTTTTTTTTTCTCTTATCAAAGCTAATGAGGGGGGCTATGAGGAACAACTACAAATATAGAATTTATTCTTCCTGGAGAAGCAACATTTAAACAAGAAGTCTAACCAAAGCTTTTTTGGCCATACTTCTCTTCTGGGACATAGGAATGCTCATAATCAGCAAAATCCTGCCATCAGATGATGTCACAGAGCCGCTCCAGGCTCTTCAGGGATCCCGGCAATGATGTTGGGATCTGCTGAGATGCCTGATTGGCAGCTGTGTCAGCCTCTCGGCGTGTAGCGGAGTGCCTGAGCCAGCCGTTCCTGCCCCCTGCACAGCCTGGTGCTCCAGTGAGCGCTGGAGGGGTGGAGCAGAGAGACGGTGCCTGACAGTCCCTGTTCTCTGCTCACAGTGAACTGAGAGATCAGCGGTCATGTGATTGCTCAGAATTCAGTGTCATAGCCACCATGGGACAATTACACCAGCATTACGCTGGTGCTTTAGCAAGGATGTGTGGTGTGTGTTGTGTTTTTAATTCCCAGCCTTCTCCTTTTTAAGAGGGAATATGATGACAATATAAAAATCTTTAAATAGTGACTGTATCTTTGGGAGAAAACTATTTAATCTACCATCTCTAAAGAAGACACGTGGCCACATAATAAAGCAGGACAAAAAGCAGATCACTCCTAAACTGCGTAAGGGGTTCTTTACTGTTAGAGCGGTGAGGATGTGGAGCCCCTGTCCACAGTAGTGGTGTCAGCAGAGATTGTGGATAAATGGAAACTTTCATGTGTGTGTTAGTGAACTCACTGTACAAGGATACAGAAATAGTAATATAAACACACACACAGGTTGAACTGGATAGACCAGTGTCTTTATGTAGCCTTGCCAATGGAACTACACTATATTGCCAAAAGTATTGGGTCAGCCCTCCATATCGTGTGATTCAGGTGTTCCAATCACCTCCATGGCCACAGGTGTATAAAATCATCACCTAGGCATGAAGACTGCTTCTACAGACAGCTCAGTGACTCCAAGTGTGGTCCCGTGATAGGTTGCCACCTGTGCAATAAGTCCATCCGTGACATTTCCTGGCTACTAAATATTCCACGGCCAACTGTTAGAGGGATTATAACAAAATGGAAGCAACTGGGAACAGCAACTCAGCCACCAAGTGGTAGGCCACATCACATGACAGAGCGGGGTCAGTGCATGCTGAAGCACACAGTGCACAGAAGTCACCAACTGTCTGCAGAGTCAATAGCTAAAGACCTCCAAACTTAATGTAGCCTTCAGATTAGCACAACAACAGTGCATAGAAAGCTTCATGGAATGGGTTTCCATGGCCGAGCAGCTGCATCCAAGCCTTACATCACCAAGTGCAATGCAAAGGATGCAGTGGTGTAAAGCACGCCGCCACTGGACTCTAGAGCAGTGGAGACATGTTCTCTGGCATGACGAATCACACTTCTGTCTGGCAATCCGATGGACGTGTCTGGGGTTTGGCAGTTGCCAGGAGAATGGTACTTGCCTGACTGCATTGTGCCAAGTGTAATGTTTGGTGGAGGGGGGATTATGGTGTGGGGTTGGGCTTGGCCCCCTAGTTCCAGTGAAGGGAACTATTAAGGCATCGGCATACCAAGACATTTTGGACAATTTCATGCTCACAACTTTGTGGGAAGAGTTTGGGGATGGACCCTTCCTGTTCCAACATGACTGCGCACCAGTGCATAAAGCAAGGTCCATAAAGACATGGAGGAGCCAGTTTGGGGTGGAGGAACTTGACTGGCCTGCACAGAGTCCTGACCTCAACCCCATAGAGCACCTTTGGGATGAATTAGAGCGGAGACTGTGAGCCAGGCCTCCTCCCCCGACATCAGTGCCTGACCTCACAAATGTGCTTCTGGAAGAATGGTCCAACCTTCCCATAGACACCCTCCTAAACCTTGTGGGCGGCCTTCCCAGAAGAGTTGAAGCTGTTATAGCTGCAAAGGGCGGGGCCAACTCAATATTGAACCCTACGGACTAAGACTGGGATGTCATTAAAGTTCATGTGTGTGGAAAGGCCGGCCGACCAATACTTTTGGCAATATAGTGTATGTTTGTGTCTAATCCAGCCTTTCTCAACCAGGGTGCCTTGAGGTTTCTTCAGGGGTGCCTCGGCAAAATGTCTAAAAGTTACACAAATTTTGTATACAAGCCAGCGGGTGGAAGAAGTCTGACTTTTAGTTACACAAAGCGACAGGTTATTATTGTGAACCATTACAACTGTCTAGCCGCCGGCGTCCTGACAACCAATGACATCAGTTTATAAGGAGGATGACATCTGCCTGCACAGCATCCTAGTTTGACCCTCTCCTGCCCCTCTCCATCAGTGCTGGGGTCACATTAGCTCAGTGATGGAGAGAAACTGAGGGAGAGGAGAAACACTGGAATACTAGTCAGTACCAGTGTGCAAAAGTGTATTTGAATTGGAAGAATAAATCCCCTCTAATGTTGGGTGTCCTACATGTGTGGATGTTGCTGCGTTATATATAACTATTAGAACTGTTTTTTTCTGTTTAAAGTGTGCCTCTGGGACCGACCATAATTTTTAGAGATTGCCTCGGGACTGTCCATAATTATTTTTAGAGGGTGCTTTGGGACTGCCCATAATTTTTTTTTTTTTTTTTTTTTTCCATTGTCTCACAGCAAGCACACCAATAAGGACACTTGATGTCTCTGCTCCGATGTTGCTGATGTGTATACTTGTTCTGGGTCATTGACTCACAAAGTACTGTAGCCAGATGGTGAGCCTGATCCAAGGTGAAAACATAAGATAATGAGGGAGAAAACACATGGAGTCAGCGTGTCCCATAGGAAACCATGTTAAATGGACTGTAGCGTGATTCTGCAAAATGCACTAAAGAAGGCATAGGTGTGAACCGGGCCTAATTCACAGCCTATGGCAGAGGGAGGTCTACCAGCACCACAGCCTATGGCAGAGGGAGGTCTACCAGCACCACAGCCTATGGCAGAGGGAGGTCTACCAGCACCAACTTCCTTTGCAGGTCCTGATATGACAAATGAGCTTTATTGGAAGGACCAAATAACATTTTAGCATTGTCAAAGTGGTTTGTATGGGGAGAGGGGAGGGTTAAGGGGTAATATTTAAGGGGGATAGGGGGAAGAGTCCATGTCATGTGACCAAATGCTGCGAAGTGGGTCAATACTGGAAGGACCAACCTTTTTTCCCCAAAGCTCCATACTTGGCTAGTACTGGTTCCCTGACAACCACCTCTCACCGTGATGTTTTTCTCTGGCTGGCCGGTCCTCTTCATCCAGTAGGCTTCTATGCAGGTTTCTCCTGCACTTCTACAGACTGATACTGGAATGGTGTGGACTGGATGGACAGAGGGAAAACAAAAATGGTGGGTTGGGTTGCTTGATCTGGGAACAAATGGATCTCCTAACTACATTGACCACCAATGCAAGGTGACATGTTTACACTGCCAGCTAATGTTCACGGACACCACAAATGTACTGTCTGTTTCTTTCCTGTTATTTCTAACTCTGCCCCAAATTACATCACTGATCTTGTCTCCAAATATCACCCAAACCGCCCTCTCCACTCCTCACACGACCTCCTGCTCCTGCTCTCTAGCTCCCTTGTCTCCAGCTCCCTTGTCTCCTCCTTCCAAGCTCGTCTCCAGCAGGGTGGATTTGATTTAAATCACTAGTCAGTAAGGCTTGATGTAAATCCTAGTTTTCTACATAAAGACTAATTCTTGCTGGTATAACTTTAATATACAAGTAGATGAAGATTTTTAGAACAACAACTTTTCATATTAGTTTTTTTATCCCCAGTTTAATAGGTTAATCATTCATATTTGGACAACTTTTCTGTTGTACTTAGGAAGGAGAAAAATAATCATTACCTTAATAATAACAATTTAAATAGATTTATTCATCTGAAACAATAACATTCCAGCATATGTGATTTGCTTAACCGTTTCAATACCGGGCAATTTTACCCCCTCCTGCCCAGGCCATTTTTCAGGTTTCAGCGCTCTCACACTTTGAATGACAATTGCGCGGTCATACAACACTGTACCCAAACTAAAATTTGATCATTTTCTTCTTCACACAACTAGAGCTTTCTTTTGGTGGTATTTAATCACCGCTGGGGTTTTTATTTTTTGCTAAATTAACAAAAAAAACCAAAAATTTTGAAAAAAAAAAAACACATTTTTTCTTTTTCTGTTATAAAAGTTTACAAATAAATAATTGTTCTTCATA